AACCCCGAGACTGGTCTGGACGAACTAGTCAAAGAACCCGTCATCACGACTGAAGGGGTGAATCTCCTTGCTATGCGTGACTATCAAGACCAGATTCACCCTCACTCCATCTACACCAACTCTGTATATGACATGCTCAAATACTACGGTGTCGAGGCGGCCCGCGGTACCATCATCAAGGAAATTGACTCGGTCTTTAAAGGTCATGGAATCAGCGTGGACGCGCGCCATCTGAACCTCATTGCGGATGCAATGACTCACTCCGGCGGGTATCAGCCTTTCAGTCGCCATGGCCTGGTCAAAGAGGGTGGGAGTGTATTAGCGAAGATGAGCTTCGAGACCGTCATGGGCTTTCTCAAAGATGCCGTGCTGTTCGGCGAGCGAGATCCGTTACTTGGGCCGAGTGCCAGGCTTGTAGCGGGCAGGAGAGGAAATATTGGCACTGGAGCGTTTGATGTAGTTATGCCTGTGCATTAACAGAAACCGACGAGGAAAGATGTTTCAATGTCGATGCTGACGAGTGAAGAAGTGCCTCCATTGCCATTTCCTGTCGATAGACGAGGTACTATGAAACGTCGAGAGCCTCGAGCGACGTCTGTGGCTTTCTTAATAGTCTCAACCCCTGATGAATTGGCTGTGCATCCCAGGACAGGTCAGCCACAACGGGGCACCTACTGACCTCAAACATGCGAGCCATGCAGGACTGCACTCCATCCTCCGTAGAGCGTGTGCCGTTAGCGTTCTCGTAAAGGAAATCAAGCTAGCGGCTCGGCCAAAAGTTTCTACTCGCCTAATTGGCTAGTGGGGATCCGCCAGGAAGGCTAGCTTCACCCATTTGACCCACTCACTTGTGCCTGAATTGCAGCTGGGAATGGGGAAAAGTCCCACCTCCACAAAATCCTCAAATTCCTTTTCATGTCGTTCGCTTCGCTTATTGATTAGGACCGAAAGAGCTCCTCTCTGAGTGACCGAGGCTCGCTTTCCTACCCAACCTCCGAGCCTGGCGCCATATCCCGGGTGATTACTCCGTACCGCGTCGTGCGCGTCTTCCCTCGTATACGAGGTACCGCGTCCCCTCGAAAGAGCCCACCGCAACTGGCTGGGCCGCCGATCCTTCCGCTAGAGATAGAGCGAGGCCGTCACCTGCATTGGTGTTCAGTAAAGAAGCTAGGGGATGCAGGCAACGTGCAGATACGAATAGCAAAGGCCAGAAAAGGAACCTCCACCGGTGCGATGATCGCTGGGCCTGGTCGCTGAAGAAACAAGGAAATGTCTGTTCGCTTCGAAAGTTCAGACCACAGCAGTACCATAGTGCCCAGTATGATAGCCGCCAGGCTGGGTTTCCGTGCTTTCTGCGGGGACTCGTGCCGAACAACCCTCTTACCGAATAGCTGCCATGTGGTCGGTGCCGCAACGACTCGCTTCAAGGGAAAATCCCATTTTAGGGGCGCGAGAGATGCTGCGAATTTCACGGCACTCCAGGCCTCAAAATCGCTGATCGGCAGGACGACATGCTGCATCGGCGATGTTCCCACTTATGTACTGGTATGCTTGTCCCTTCGTGCATGGACTGACTCAGTTTTGCTTCAGAATGCTCGACCAAACCCCGGCCCAAACTTGGACAGTCTTATGGCACGTTTTGGATGGGGAGGTTGCCCCTTGAACAGAATAGCATCTACCTAAACCGACGCGGGAATGCATTAGCCCTCCTGTGTACAACGTCGACCGCGAGTCATCACTTCGATGTCTTAACAAGGATAGACCCTTCCCTCGGATTGGGGTCCCCATCCATACAAGACTTTCACCGTTGGCCCGGGACACTTGTCAGGGGCAGAAACTTAGACTTCGGCCCATCGCCGCCTGCCGCTGCTCCCCATAAACCCAAACTCCCTGAGGCGGAAGCATTCAGTTGTCTCGGGGCAGTCTTCATGTTCCACTCGTCAGCTTTTCAATTTGCACATGGGGACTTCCTCTGTTCTTCGCGCAGCCGACAGCCATTCAGGCCTGGTCCGTTTTCGAGGATTGGTTCCGTCTGAACACCTAACGCGGCTGGCTAGAAGGTCTCCAGGAATAGCCTTTTCCTTCACCAAACAAGCCAATCCGGGGAAGATTGACTTGACATCATAATGTTTGACCGGCCGCTTCTAGTCTCCTCGTTAGGCTCAGTCTACCCCGGATTGCAGTTGTTCTCGCCTTTGGCCTCGACCAGCCATCCATGCTGTGCTGTTTGCAGCTAAGTCAAGTAAGCCGCCTCCAGTCGCTACTGAACCTTGAAAGACTACTTGCGCCTCATTTCCATTGGAACGTTCTGCGCCGCATCGATCGATCCAGGGGTGTCCCACCTCCCCATCTACCACTTCGCATTCATATCTTCCTTGTGGATCGCACGTCGCCCATCATGCTCGCACACCACGTCCATGCTGTCACCCACTCCTTGAATTTGGTCTTCGTTCCCAGCGGCAATAGCCACAGACAAGATGGGCTTGGAGCGTGGAATGCAAGCTGTGGTGACAGCGGCAGTCTTCAACGGGCTGGCATTTATTTTCATTCTTTTCCGGTGTATATCCCGCTTTTGGGTAATACATCGCGCCGGACCTGAGGATTATCTGATCATATTTGCATTGTTGCTCTCTTGTGGGCTTACAGCCACTATTGTGCTTCGTAAGGACTCCATCCTGTTGTGCTGGCAGATTCGAATCTAATACTGCGCTCCCCCAGAGAAGGATAATGGGCTAGGTCGGCACTCGGACACGGTCAGCGACAAAGAAAACGAGACCTTGTCCAAAGTCAGTATCTACCACGATCCTCGCGAGGCGTGCATGCGCTAACGGGTCCGATCAGCTTCTGTATGCGAGTATCATTGTTTACAATCTAGGGCTCTTCCTGGTGAAGGACTCGATTCTCTATCAATACCTGCGCTTCTTCGTCGACAGGCGCTATCGCTACGCGGCGTGGTTTCTCATTGGCTTCATCTGTGTTGCAGGGATCACCTTCATTCTAGTGTCCTGCTTTTCTTGCATGCCTGTCGCCTTTTACTGGGACAAGAGCATCGAAGGTGGCCACTGCATCGACATGATGGCTTTTTGGTTCAGCTTCTCCGGTTTCAACATTGTCACCGATGTGGCCGTCTGGGTGCTTCCAATGCCGGTACTGTGGAACCTGCAACTTCCCCGGAAACAGAAAATCAGCTTGGTAGCCGTGTTCGCATTGGGTGGCTTGTAAGTGGACCGGAGGTCGCTCTCTTGCCAAGGTTGCCGTCACACTGACATGGAGCAAAGCGGCTGTGTCACTGCCATCCTCCGTCTTCGAGCCCTTTATGTTGCCAGCAATTCCACCGATCTGACGTACGACAACGTTGGCGCTGCAACGTGGTCGGCGGCCGAACTGAACGTCGGTATCATGTGCGCCTGCATTCCTGCACTGCGGCCAATGATCAGCATGATCTTCCCACGACTCCTCGCGACCACACGACGCGATCACGGCTCAAACCCTTATCCTCCTCGGGCGCCGTACATGCGAAACGAGAGCGCGGTCGAGCTCTCCCAGAACGTCAAAGCGCAGAGTGAAATCAGCAGGGATGACTCGGCCAGCTATGAGAACGGCCACGAGCCGAACTCGATCCGGGTGAAGAACGAGTGGTCCATCAGTGAGCGAGAACGCGCCTAAATGTGACGCAGTGCGTGTCTCTCTGCTACTGTGCAAGATACCCCAGGGTATGATGCAACTGTACGATATGACTTATGAGGCCCAACAAGGGTATACAGGTGGCGGCGGAAAGCCCGAAAAGGAGTTGTGGGCATCAACAGGGGGGTTAAAACAACAAAAAGCGGAGCGGCGTTCTCATTATTTTGGTCAGGGCATGTCTTCAGCTAAGCGTAACATACAGTCGACGCTTGAGGAGAGTTGTCAAAAGCAAACGCTTGTCAAAACATCTGAACCGGGGGGAGTGGCGGCACTCTGTGGAGGTACTCTGCTTAGCACCGGCATTGTTGTGAGGGTATGTATGGCGTTGGGGCGGCCCGGGTCGCATGTATTTATCAGCAGGGGCATAGCGAGCGCGGCAGTCTCGCGCCATCTGCTTTCGAGTCTATGGAAAGCATTGACGCAGGACTTCCAGCTTCTGCGTCAAGCAGCAAGCAGAGATTCAAAGATTCAAAGTTTCAAAAGTATCTCAGGAACTCATCCATCCATGGTTTCAGACCGTGCGTCTGTCTTGGGACGAAAAGGGCACAACAGATCGACAACAATATAATATCACGCTCTGAGTCTCTTCGTTTTTGTTTTCTTCTCGGCCCGAGACAAGCTGACACAGATTTTTCTCCTTATCGTTCGCACGATGTGCTACAGTGTTTTAATGTCAATAATTCGCCGTGTCCTTGAAAGACTACATCTCTGCGTCGAAGCCTCTCCAGCTTTTGCAGCCTTTTGATCTCCTCTGGCGGACAGTCACCAATCACTGAGGATGGAACTCACTTCCCGTATAGTCAGATTCAGGTGAGGCGGAATAAGCAAGCCACCATCAAATACAGCAAGTCACCATCAAATACATGTGTAGCTGTAGACCTCGTAGTCGAACCGTTTGCGCCTTAACCCGCCATATGCCTCACTTGTCGCCGTCATCTTGAGCACCCCTGACATCAGAGTCTATTATTTATAGGTGTGCATGATCGATAAGCTGCATTGAAATAGAGAGCGCGTTGATTGCATGTCTCTTCACCTCCAGCTCTGCATACAGCTATGATAGGACTAAACTCAGCCATTCGCTTGGCTACATTCAGATTGTTGATACATCATGTTGCGGTTACCGCCATCGCCGCATACGATTCTCTCGCAATCACATTCAATCTCGCGTGAACTTTCGGATTCAATCATCTCTGGGATCACTGACACGCCCACATATGGAAGCCAGCGAAAAAAATCCCCAGCTGCTCGAGAACGCCCTTTGGACCCGCGGTGGATATCTGCGATTGCCAGTTTATCGATGGCTTGCCTCGCCTCCATCACTGCGGAAATCGTCGGAAAATATCGCTCAGCTTGTCCAACGGTGCAGCCATCAGTCCAGCGACCGTCTCAAAGGGAGGCTTGTCCGGAGCCGAAGGATGACTGCGCGTCGGCACAAACATCTTGGTCCGCTCGAAACTTTTCGCCATCTGTGACGAATTACCATCCGGGATCGCTTTTTCGAGCTTCGGAAGGTCGTCGCTCTCTTCTTCCTCGATGTGTTTGGTGAGAACCTCCCAGAGAGACTTGATTGTTGGTTCGAAGTCCTTGCTGGAGGGAGCCAAGCCCTGAAATTTGTACAGCAGTTGTTTGACCTGTTTTCGCGGCGAAGTCGTCAGTTTCAATCTTCGCAACAAGAATACCAGTGTACCGTTGTGCAACGTCACGACAGATAGCAGTACATACCTTGTTGTGGCCGTCTCGGTCCTTCTGGGCCAGTTGCTTTCCCTCGTCGCCCAGGTGCTCCTCCATGGCTGGATAGACGACGAGCTCCTCTCCAATGGAATGACGAGCTAATTCCCAAGTGAATTGATTCTGCCAACGGATCTTTGACTCCGTGTCCGTGGCATTGAGAATGTTGTTGTAGTATTCCTTCAGTTCGGCATGGTCGTGTTTGATGGCTTCTGAGACGGTGCCCGCATTGGCGGACGAGATGTCGGCGGACTTGGCGTCGACTTTGTTGATGGTATCTTGCGACAGTAAGCTCTGGAAGCGTTGTTGGGAGAGCGGCAGTATGCTGGCTCTGACCCCTAGTGGGCGAGAACAACGGGGGCTGGCAACTAATGCTCTGAAGAATGGTCGAGTGGCGGCCATGCTGAGTACCTTCAAGTTGGTTAGGGTTGGCAGTATGCAAGGACGAAGACTTGGAATTCAGCTACTCATAGGTAGATGTTCGAAGTCTGAGCACGATGTCAGGCTCGAACTGATAGCTCCCGGAATCGATATCCGCCTCCTCTTACCCCAGCTTTGCAGTGGCCGCGCCTGGCTGGTTGGACGTTAGCAGGTGCCCGGGCGGCAAGAGAGGGATTGAGATCCGTCCAATCGCCATTCAGGTTTTGTAATCTTTCGTGATGCTGTTTTGTGACATCGCTCGATCTTGCACTGGCCTACCGGATGTTGAGTGTCACGAGGAGCTAAGGCAGCGCAACACGTCACATTGACCGGGTGAAGTCTCACCGAAGCCCAGGACAGACGGAGCGCATTTCACCGTCCAAAATCTAGACTAGAGCCTACCATGAGTCCTCGATTAGAGCCCAGCGTGGTCACATACGAGCATGCGAGGATGAGAAGAGATGGACAATCTAGGTGGGGAAGTGAGCTAGAGGTGAGCTGCAAGTGAGCTAGAAAGTGAGCTGCAAGTGAGCTAGAAGTGAGCTGCAAGTGAGCTAGAAGTGAGCTGCAAGTGAACACAGCGTGAGCGAGGGGGATTTTCTCTTGGCACAGCGGAACTTGTGAATCCATGACAGCCTCATCTCACTCTAAAACTGCAGCCTCCTGCCCAAACTTCCATCCAACTACGAGCATTCTACCGTTGCACCTGCCATGGGTACAGCGGATTCGATATCCGCCTCCGTCCCAAAATGTCAGCTCGCTGTCATGGCCGTCCACCACCGCACGAGTAATTCGCCAGGATATCGAGTCCGCATCGCACCTTCTGCACGCAATGACGGATACATGCGACGCGAGGTCCACCGATTTCCTCTTCCGCAGTACATGACGTGAAAATCATTGCGGTGAGCGACGGCTACAACATCCAGCACTTGCCCGTATCTACCTGGGATTTCCCATCTTCGCCCCATGTCCTCTCTGCTTCGTTTTTCCTGTCGCACAAGATCTGTTCCGAAGTGTCTGGGAGCCCCGTGCGAATGACCTCCAACATCACAGCAGGCGAGATGGCAGCACACCCAGTTCAGGCCGTCGGGAAAGCGATTGGTAAGATGGGCGGTGACCCTCGAGCTCTCCAACGCTCGTCGCTCTTCCAAGGTGCAAACGAAGGTCCAGCGGTCGTGGCGGCCAAATTGACGGGTGTCAGCGAAGGAGGAAAACGTGCTGATGATGGCCCTTATTTCACCAACAATGAGGGTATCCCTTTCCCAGATGCATCTCACAGCAAGACCGTCGGAGGAATTCCAGTCGCGTCAGATACGTTCCTCTTTCAGAAACAGCAGCACTTCAATCGATCAAAGCTTCTCGAGAGAATGGTCCATCCTTGTAGGCAGAGACACTAACCTTGCTGGGTTCCTCGTCACTGACCATATGCACAGGCGGTAGCGGTGCTTTCGGCTACTTCGAGACCACCAAGGACGTGTCGCACTTGACAAAGGCCAACTTCTTGAGCGGCTCCGGCATCCAGACTCCCGTGTTTGTCCGCTTCTCCACCGTCACCTTGGGGCGAGAGTTTCCCGACCTGGCTCGTAACCCAAGAGGCTTCGCCATCAAGTTCTACACTGGGGAGGGCAACTATGACATCGTCGGCCTGAATTTCCCCGTGTTCTTCTGCCGTGATCCCATCCAAGGTCCGGATGTCATTCGGTCCCAGGCCAGACGACCCGACAACTTCCTGCTGGATTACAATGCCACGTTCGACTTGCTCGCCAATACGCCGGAGGGCAACCACGCTGGAATGATGTTCTTCTCTGACCATGGAACGCCGCAGGGTTGGCGTGCCAATCACGGATACGGCTGCCATACTTTCAAGTGGGTGAACAAGAGCGGCGAGTTTGTGTACATCAAATACCACTTCCTGGCAGATGGAGGCCAGAAGCAGTTCACTCGTCAAGAAGCCGTCAAGTTGTCTGGAGAGAACCCGGACTACAGCAAGGAAGAACTTTGGCAAGCCATCGAGAACGGCGAGCCGGTCTCTTACACCGCTCACGTCCAGATTATGAAGCCAGAGGAAGCCGATCCCCAGAAGCTGGGCTTCGACCCATTCGACGTGACCAAGGTGTGGCCCAAAAAGCTTTTCCCGCTCCACGAGTTTGGAAAGCTGCACCTCACCAGAAACCCCGAGAACTGTGAGTCCATGCTGCAAGTATACCAAGAGCACAGCTGACGGATTCCCGAGATCACCGAGACGTCGAGCAAGCGGCATTCTCGCCCGGCAGCATGGTTCCTGGTATCGAAGACAGCCCTGACCCACTATTGCAATTCCGCATGTTCTTCTACCGCGACGCCCAGTACCACCGTATTGGCGTGAACCTGCACCAAGTCCCCAGTACGTTACATGACACACAAGAACCAACCGCCCTTCCCCGCCTTCATAGCAGAGCATGAAGAGCTGCAAGCTGATCTGTGGTATCCGCACAGCAAACTGCCCCTTCATGGCCGGGTCGTACGCCTCGCTCAACTTCGACGGCCCCCTGCGCGTAGACGCCAACCATGCCAAAAACCCACAATACGCTCCCAACAGTTTCGTGGACAAGTTCCGACCCGACACCGCCGAGGCGCCGTACAAGGTCGGTGACAACATTGTGTCACGCAAGTCTCACTTCTACCACGAGGGCCATCCACTCACCGAATACGATCAACCTCGCGATCTCTACGAGAACGTGATGAACGAGACGCAGCGCGCCCATTTGCACGAGAATACGGCTGTTATGCTAAGCCATGTGAGCGAGCCAGTTATCCAGACCAAGTACCTGGCGCAGCTGTACAAGATCAAGCCTAGCTACGCGCGCGCCGTGTACGATGGATTGACCAAGAAGAAGTTCGAGTTCAGCGAGGTGGAGCAGCACGCCGAGGGGATTGAGAAGGCTGGACATTACGACAAGTTTAGACCCACGCAGGCGAGTGAGCGCTTGGTAGGCTTGGCTGCGACAGGGGTCTACAACAGTGTACCCGGTGGGTTGTAGGGAGTGTCAATGAGCCATGAGATCATGGTGAGCGCAGTATGCGCATGTCTGCAGTATGGACATTGCCCAAATGAGTGGACCAAGCGGATGAGCGGATGAGTGGACAAGTGGATGAATAAACGCACGGAGTATGTGTTTCGAGGAATTGAGCCCGTTAGAGCATGTTGCATCGCCAGATCAGATGTATACAGTCGACGGAGCAATGAAAGTATCGCAAGTGCTCTGATTGCTGAGACACATAGGGGTATTTATGCAGCAGAACTTTCACATCACCCCTCATTAAACCTCAGTATTCCTATTCCCTACCGTGTAGAGGCTCCAGACTGATATCCCTAACCCTGACGCTAGGGTTTCCAATAACTACCGACAATGATGGAACCAGAACCTACTATGAACTACTGTATGTAGATCACACCACTACCGCACGGGAAGGCCGCCTCGGCGTAATAGGCAGGGTGTTCGCGCTCTCAACATCCGAGTCCACGGCCTTCGCCGTCACGACGGTCTTCGCGGCGGTCTTTTTTGGGTATCTCTCACTCATATCCCTGACGTGCTGGTCCGCGAGCGCGAGCGCGACAACGATCTCCTCCGGCGGCGCGCCAGGCGAAGGGGGCGCCGCGCGCAGGACCTTCTTCTTCAAGTCGACCCAGACGAGACACACGGCGACGTAGACGCACCAGACGATTCCGCCGACGATGCCGTACGCGACCTTCCACCCTTGGCTCCAGTGCGGCGGCCCGCCCAGCGTGCTGGATATTCGGAACCCCAGACCGCCGTCGATGATGCCGAGCATGAGACTGACACGGCCAATCCACACGTGGATGGGCATAAAGGCCGCGACGCGCGGGATGGCCGTGTGGAACCAGTGCAGTTTCAGGAGCGGTTGGACGACGAGCATCGCGAGCACGACGTACCCTACCAGCGCGTGGTATCGGTGTAGCGTGTGCAGCTGCGAGCCCATCCACAGGCCCAGGCACAGGCACGCGAGGTACATTGCCAGGCCGAAGGCTTGGATCGCGGCGTGGAACCAGGCGATGTGGCGGTGTGGCCAGACTTTGATGACGATTCCGCCGAACGGGAAGATGAAGAGGAACGCAATGGCGCCGATGACCGCGTGGGCGACCTTGGCGTCCTCGAAGGGGGAGGGGGAGGTGGATTTGATGGTCGACGAGTGTGCGGCTGATTGGGTAGGGGCGTTGATTGTACCGAACGTGGCGCCGGGCCTCGTCGTCGTCGTCGTCGTCGTGAGCCATGGCGATGAGGCGCCTGGGATTGGTACGGTAGGGGTAGCCGGCGATGCATACTGCGTCTGTGCCAGGACCAGCGTGACTGTTTTTAAAATGTGTTAGCACTTTTTGGAATGGCTGGTTGCTGGGTTCTGCGGGTGGGAACATGCCATTCATGGATACCGTCTTCGTGAATAGATTGCGGGCAAACGTACCTTGGAGGGCACTGAGGAGCAGGAGGGCCCTCATTGCTGGTCTCGTAGCCATGATGCCTCGATAGAAGGTCTCGCACGGGATACCACCACACTGACACTGAGACTGAGACTGGGTCTTTACGGCGTGCAAGCCTCAATAGCAGAGCAGCAGCAGCCGTGGGAGCTGGCGAGGCTCGTATACAAGCTGGCGCAGGCCGGGACAAAGCAGCATTGACGTTCGCAGATGTCCATTGTAGATATGTCTCAACCAGGAAATGCGGGTATGGCCTGGAATGTCCGACGCATGCTCGAGCAACAACCCTGATGCATTCATTGTTCTCGCATACGCCGGGGCCAGCAAGAGCTCCTGGCGTTCGCACGTCCTGAAAGCTCGCTGTGTCCTCGCCTGCCACTGCTTGCCGTCTGTTCCGACCGTCGATCGTCCTTTGTGTTGTCTGGAGTCCGTGGTTGTGGCAACATCATTTCCGCACCTTCACCTGACCAGGGTTCCGTTTCTCTTCCACCACTCCGCCCAATTGACAACCGTCCTCTCTCTTCTGGCCTCTTCGGCCGCAAACACGACAGCGTGGCTCAGGATGATCTCTTCAAGGTCACATCCCACCAATTCTCTTTGCGCTTGAGCGACGTTCATTGTTCCGGCATCCACGTTCTGTACAGCTTGAACAAAGGCACCAGCCAGACCCCAGTCGCCACCACCGTGGCTCTTCTCCACTTCCGGAGCTTGCTTGGGGATATCGTGCACCGTGGTCTTGCCATCAGCGAATGTGTGGACGGTGATGATGTGAGAGTCATAAGTGATTTCTCCCAATGTGCCGTATATTCTTCCCCGACGCTCACATTGTGATTGTGTTGGGTAAGTCATGTGGAACAGGGCCCTCTTTGGCCCACGACCAAGCTCTTGACCAGGGAGAGGGTCTTCTTCCCAATCCATTGCCACAATCTGGTCATCAACAACATTGTTGTCTGATTCGTACACGCACCGGCCGTACCAACTTCTGCTTGCAATGACATCGTCTGGCGTAGTATCTTTGTCGTAGTCCTCACCGAGTCTCTGCATTAAGCGCTCTTCGCCTGCATCCCAGCCCTTCGCCGAGACAATATCTTCAATCTCTGGCACCACAATCTTCAGTGGCCAGCCGGTGTCCTTCTCCGTTCGCAGCCATTTGTCGCGGTATATTTTCTTGGCGGAATATATGCAGTCCGGTTCGGCAGGGCAAGACAGGCAATTCGTTGCAGCTCCCGCAGCTTTCGGCTTCCTTGCTCGGCGGAAGTGTGTAATCGCTCCATTGCTTGAGATTGTGGACGGCAAGTGAGGCGTGTCACCAGTCAGAGGGCTAGGTGAGCAGAGAAGCCAAAGGATGAAATCGATATCGTGGCCAGACTTGGTGAGCAGGGAGCCAACACCCTCGGGGGTCAACCGCCGCCAGTTGCCGCGCACGTACGAGTGGGAGAAGTGCCACCAGCCGATCGGCTCTGTATGCTCAATCGAGACAATCTCGCCAATGGCTTGGTCCGACGTCAGTAGCTTGCGCAGCAGAATATTGTGAGGCGAGTAGTGCAACACGTGTCCGATCGACACCACTTTCGGCGGATATTTCGACAAGGCTGTAGAGATGGAGAGACAGTCCGAGAGTGATATCGCCAGCGGCTTCTCGCACAGGATATGCAGATTGAGGGGCGCAATGGCTCGAATGATGGGCGCGTGGCTGTCGTCTAGCGTGCATATGAAAACACCAGTGATGGGAATATATCCGGCTTCAGGGCCTGCCCTGTCTGCTCGCTCCCGTCGGTGTGTCTCCCATGCCACCCATTCTTCCCAGTCGCCGAAAGACTGGCCATCCGTGGGCTGGCCGCCGCTCCCCCAGATATACCGTCGTCCGAACTCTTGACGCTTGAAAGGGTCAATCTCTGCTACTGCTGCGATCTGGCCGGAAGTGGAGGCTTCCACGGCGCGAGCGTAGGCATGTCCACGAGACCCAGCCCCGATGACGAGGAACTGCGGCGGCGGCGAAGCAGGTCCGATGGATCCCATGGTGGGGGGCGACGGTCAAGCCACGAAGAAGCTGCCTCTCCTCCAAGTTCCACGGCACAAGAGGCCGGGCAGGCAGAGGTCTATATGCCCAACCTCGACGGAGTAGACCGCGTGTAACATTGCGCAGAGACGGACGATGCGAGTAGCAGCAGTTGTAACACTAATCGTGGCCGCTCTGATTGGCCCACGCCTCCGCCCTCCACAATCACAGCGGCCTCAACGATTCAAATGATTGCTCAAGATCAATGGCGGGAGCCTGGTTGTGCTACGTGACACCTTTCAATAATTGCTGGCTTCGTAACGCGTGGAAGCTACTGCGCAAAGGCATGTGAACACCGCGAGAGTCACACTCATCAGGGACGGCCATAGCCGCCTCGCACAATTCAGGGGATTCATCTGGTGGACGCTTTGGTCGCCACTAGAAAAACACGACGAAGCCCGTGCTAGGATCTTTATTTTCGCTTTCAACAGGCCTGCGTCAATGAAGAATACAGCGCGTGGGGGAACCACTGGGACCTTAATTACCCCTCGTCGCCCTCGTCGCCCTCGTCGCCCTCGTCGCCCATCGTAAACAAACCCCGCACATGAACCACGACACTATTCCAGGCAGCGTCTCTTCGCGAATCAGAGTCAACCCGAGGCATTCGATTTTGGCGTGGTGAAGTCATGGCACCAGAGTCAAGGAAACGGACTGCGCGGAGGGCCAGAGCTCTTCTGCATCTCATTGGTGGAATCGACCTTCTGTGATTCTTCATTGGTTCTCTCAAAGCGAGATCGGGCAAGAGGCACAGCTACAATCGAATTCTCGAAGTATCTCTTGCTGAGGAGTCGAAAGAGTCTCCAGCCGGTGTCCCTCGGTTCCACGCGTTCTGCCCATTGACACAGAAACCTTTCAAGACCACTCTAGAAGTCGAGCACCGCGGTATCTCCTCTGACCAGACGAGAGCATTTCAATCTACCGGATTCAGTCACTTTCGAGCTCTGAAAAGCCAGCACGATGTCCACGCAGACAGGGATGGGCGCTTGCTGCCTCTCCGGCGCCATCCACGAAGGTTCGCCACAAGGACGCGAAGACACCATCGGCGGCCTGCCTACCTACGTTGCCGAACCGAGCGACAAGTCCACGGCCAAAACGGTCGTCTTCCTGGTCGACATCTTTGGCTGGAAGTTCAAGAACGTGAGGCTGTTGGCAGACAACTACGCCAAGGCAGGCTTCTACTGCTACATCCCCGACGTTCATGAGGGCGACTCTCTTCCCATCGAGTTTCTGCAGAGCGTTGAACCACCGCTCAAGCAGAAAGAGCAGGAAGGCCTGGTTGACAAGGCCAAAGAGACGGTGGACGTTATGGCGACGCTGGGGCCTTGGCTGGCCAAGCATAGAGAAGCTGTCGCGGAGCCCATCATCAGCGGCTTCATCAATACTGTTAGGACGATTCCTGGCACGAACAAGATTGGAAGTGAGTACTCACACGCACGCAAGAATGGAGGACAAGGTTAGGTGGCACCATGCAGTACTGACCTCGTTTCTTCTCTCTAGCAATCGGCTTCTGCTGGGGTGGCCGCTACAGCATCCTCCAGGCCCACGCCCGGAAAGAAGGCGAGATTGGCGGCGTCGACGCCGCCTACGCGTGCCACCCGTCTCTTCTCTCCATCCCGGCGGACCTGATCCCCGTCGCGAAGCCCACTTCCATTGCCGTGGGCGAAAAGGACAGTCTACTGGATATGAAGTCGGTGGACCAGATCAAAGAGACCCTGGAGAAGACTGGTGTTCCTACCGAGGTCAAGGTATACAAGAACCAGGTGCATGGGTTTGCCTTGCGAAGTGACTGGAGTAGTGATGAGGACAAGAAAGCTATGGATGATGCCGAGAAGCAGGGGATTGAGTGGTTCAAGAAATATCTCTCTTGAGCGTTTGGCGAGCAGAAGAGGTGAAATAATCTGATAGCGGGCTCAGTGTGTTCACCGTCAAGTCGAGAAGCGGACCTCACCGAGAAATGGCCTTGTCGCCCCTATCTTGAACCTACCGCAGTTTTGGATCTAATCGAGGCCGTACATTGCTGTTTATTTGCTTCCTCACAAGCTGTCATCAAAGTTTTCGTCGACGTGTACCCTTCTCCACAGCACAACTGAAGTTTGAACTGGCAGCTCGGTCGCTTGATGTGGAATCATTCTTACGACAATACGCGTGGAAGTAGAGGGAGTAGGCGGGCTATGGATTACCTTGCCTGAATTAAAATGGCGAGTATGTGATCAAGCCTCCACGCTGTGCGATGGTGTGTAGTTCTCATCTGCTGTGTAATATACGCGTACAAGGCTGCTTTTGGCAAGCAGATGTTTCCACCCGTTGGCGTCCCGGGTCCTGCACTTGAGATGAACTATGAGTTCAAGCAGGCCTTTCTGCCTGAGGCTGGGATCTCTGCAGCTTATCCGATGAGCACCATGGTATACTTTCAATTCGTCTTCGCAGCCATCTCGGTGGTCCTCGTTGCAGGCGCTGTACTAGCCAGGATGAACTTTCTGCCCTGGATGGTATTTGTGCCTCTCTGGCTCACGCTGAGCCAGACCGCGGGCACATATAGCATCTGGGGAGGCGGATTCCTGTTTGACCTGGGCGTGCTGGATTATTCTGGTGGATGTGTCATTCACGTCTCGTCTGGAACGGCAGGGTGGGTACTTGCATACTGGGTCGGCCCAAGCCACCCTCGCGATCGAACCGAGTTCCACCCCAACGACGTTTTGCTCCCTTTGGTGGGTGTCGGTCTCCTGTGGCTTGGTTGGAACGGCTTCAACGGTGGTGATCCTTACACAGCTTCACCTGACGTTGGTGCCGCCTTGCTCAACACCAATGTTTGCACGGCAATGAGCATGCTGACCTGGACGATGATGGACTTGATATTCTTCAAGAAGCCTGCCGTGATTGGAGCAATTCAACGCAATATCACTGGTCTGGTTGCCATCACGCCCGCGGCTGGATTTGTGGCCGGATAGGGAGCCATCATTATTGGTCTCTGTTCGGACACCATTCCGTGGATTTCGATGGATGTCCTAGGTAAGCAGAAGTGGTTCCCCGAACTCTCCGACGATGTTGTAGGGGATTTCCACACGCATCTGGTGGGAGACATTGTTGGTGGCTTCTTGACAGGACAGGTCTCTTCGCCACCAGTGAAGGCGTCGCCGCATTTACACTTGCACCGGTGGGTGGAGCGATTGACGGGAACGGTCGCCAGGTCTGGGTTAAGATTGTTGGCTTTCTGTTTATCAGCGGCTGGAATCTTTTCTGGACCAGCGGCGATTTGCCTGTCCATCAAATGTGTGCTGAGAATTCCGTTGAGATATAACGAGGACCAGTTGCTCATTGGTGACGGGGAAGTTCATGGCGAGCTGGCGTACGCGTTTTCCATGATGGAAGACATGTAAGTCGCCTCTCCAAGCCTGGCACGCCTCATTTGCATTGCTGACTTTTGAAACAGGACTCTGACGCGCATTATGGCAAACCCAGCAGTGACTCGGAGAAGCGAGCAGGAGTGCTTGACGGTGTTGATGCTGCAGGGCACTTCGGCAGCGAAGATCCAAGTGGTAGTGGTACTGGAAGTGGAAACGGCAAAGAGACTAAGCATGCATCGGCACAGGGCTTGAAGTTGAACTTTCTTCGTCCACGACGCGCGCTCACAGCGAACAAAGGTCGCGGAAAGCATGGACTTATTTGTAGTGTCCCTTTGAGTATGAGCGGTCAGCACAAACAAAACCGCCGAGCACAATCATGGCGATATGTGAGAGGGTTTGTAGGGCGGCTCGCGATTGACAGAGAGAAGGGAAAACTAAATGCCAACCTAGAGTGAAACACGGACAAGGCTGATTGACGTCATTGTAGCCTTGGGGCGCGCCTGCCTGTCGCGTTCATTGCTCTCGCTTTCACCTGAGCTTCACCTGACTGCGAGTGTTTTGCCTCGTTCAACTATCTCAGCTGCCTGCTTTCTGTTCAATACTAGGTAGTTCTCTTCTACGCCTGACCCAAAGCTTCATAAAAGCTGTCGGACAGGATTGCCCACACAGCGCCTCACCGACACCGACTCGTTTCGCACATCTCTGCCCATCATGTCGGAACCTACGTATCGTTTTGGTAAGTGCAGTTCTCTCTACGCTTCATCTCGATGGCAGAGCTCAGCACACCATTTGGAGCCCTCTATACCCGATTTTGATTCTGCAACTGCGCATTGTCAGACCTCGACATTCCTCCCGCTAACATTCTCGCCCACTGACATCTTTCGCAGAACTCGCCAAGCAGGGCCGTGCGCTTTGCCAGAACAGTGCATGCAAGCATGCAGGCGTCAAGATCGGGAAAGGAGAATTCCGCATGGGTACGCTCGCTGTAATCGACGGAAACTCGTCCTGGAGGTGGAAGCATTGGTGAGTGCTAGATGTGGGTGCGCTCTTTTCCGTTTCTGGCTGATGATCGGAGAAGGGGATGCGTTACGCCTCTTCAGATTGGTAACCTGCAAACCCAAGTGGGTCCACTTGAGGACCTGGACCTTGACGACGATCTACCACGCATCATCGACGGCTATGAGGAGATCGACGACGAGGCACGCGAGAAGATCAAATTTGCCCTGCACAATGGTCATGTTCCGGACGAAGATTGGAAGGGTGTATGTAGAACGTCATCTTCTCATCACTGAACTTCGGGCTAATCCTGCCCAGGAACCAGAGTTGAATCGACCAGGCAAGAAAGGTATCAACAAGCGAACTCCGAAAAAGAAACCCGTTGAGGAGGATGGAGACCCTATTGACGAGAAAGGGGAGACGCCCTCGAAGCCGAAGCCAAAGGGAGGGCGCGGCAAGAAAGCCAAGGCTGAGTCGGGAGTTGAAGCTGACGTGCCAGCGCCAGCGCCGAAGAGAAAGGCCGCTGGAAAACGTAATGTCAAAGTTGAGGAAGAGGATGACGCTGATGAAAACCCTCCTCCAACAAAAAGAGTCAGAAAACGAAAGGCCGCGGTCAAAGAGGAAGACGAGGAGGACCGAGTGGCAGAAGAGAAGCTCGCGAAGAAACCAAGAGCTCAAAAGGTCAAAGTGGAGAATGAGGAAGAGACAACCACGGCACCTGCTAAGAGATCGCGGGCCAAGAAACCCAAGGTCGAGGAGCACGATGACGAAGATATGCCAGACGCACTTCAGCCTGAACCAGCAAAGCGCGAGCGGGTCCGCAAGGGAAAGAACGTGTCCGCAAATCCTGAAGGAGGCAAGAATGAAGTCAAGCCATCAATCTCACATGACCCTGGTGAACTTGATGATCTGCCCGCAGAAACGAAGCCCTCGAGTAAGGCAAAGACAGTCAAGCGCGGACGCAAGGGCAAAGCCATCAAGCAAGGAGAGGCTGAGGAGGACACACACGACGCACACGAGGCTTCAGCAAGGGGCGAAGCGGATCCAGAGACCACGATCAGAACCACCGACGAGACCACCGACGAAACCAAGCCAAACGTCAACAGAGAAGATCGGGCGCAGGCGCAAGGTAAGTCCTATTCTCGTGCCACCGGCTCTGCCTCTACTGCTGTCGTTCCGACTGACGGAGAAGCAGAAGCATACGGAGACACGAATGCAGCAGACCCCGCTGGACGTCCCGAGCTAGAAGAGCCTGATGTCGATGCTGGAGGAGTGGAGGATGAGCGAGAGGAAGCCAGCAAACCCACCAAAGCAGGAAAAGGCAAGAGGGGCCGCAAAATCGCCAAGGGACGGGCAAAATGATCAAAAAGATCTGAACTATGCAGGGTCTCCATCACGCCTCAACACAAGGGCATAGTGACCTGCAAGTCTGATGACGAAAGCGGAATTCGAGGTGGAGATGGCTTTACCAGGGCATTGCCTTGGAGAGTCGGTTGGGGAAGGTATTCGCATCATGTGAAACAGAATGAAGGCACCTCATATGTTCCATGGGTAAATGTATGGCGGCTTGTGGGCGTTCATTGAGCGAGAGCCGAGTATGGCCGGTATCCTGTATCACTAGGTAGACGTCGGTAAACACGATTTCAATCGGCACAAAGGTATTCTATCCAACAAGTCGACCGTTTTCTATCTGGATGGAGTTGGTGAGACACGCAGTGAAAATCATTGATCAGGTGCAAGAGTTGAACGCGAGACGCCATCCCGCTCCTTTCCTTTGTTGATATATTCCTACAGTGCAGCAGCCTATATATCCGGTAGCAGCCGCTATGCCCAGGTACTGTCAGAGCCCGCGAAAGCAGAATCATGGCAATTCACACGTCATCCGCCCTGTGGTCCTACTCATTACCCTCGAATGTTGTGGTGGTTCAAAACTCCCTACTGTCCCCAATATCGCAGACATCAAACACTCCCGTCTCGGCAATGCCATGATGCTTCAATGCCTCTTTCAACAGCCTCGGCGGTTCCAGCACGTCCTCCTCGGTGAGCACCCACGTGCCCCAGTGGATACCCAGCGCCTTCTGACACTTTGTATCGCGGAAGATTTCGACCGCGTCCCTGGGGTTCGCGTGCATGGGCGACATGATCCATCTGGGCATGTACGCTCCGATCGGGAGCAATCCCAGGTCGAACGGTCCGCGTAACCGTCCGATGTCCGCGAAGGCAGGACAGTGTGGGAGATGCGAGTATTCGTCCGCCCAGTCGTCTTTCCCGTCCGAGGCCTTGGGCACGCTGCGGTAGCCGGTATCGCCGCCGAAGTAGACGGATTTGTTCCCGGAGGAGACGGACCAGGAGGCCCACAGAGTGGCGGCACGGTCGTGGATCGAGCGCGCCGAGATGTGTTGGCACGGGAGGCACGATATGCGGGCCGATATCGTGTCTGAAGAATCCGAGGACGACGGTTTGGCCGCGGGCTCGTCCGCCGAGGTCACGCTGACGGATTTCTCGGTGGTGGACGAGGAGGCTGTGAGTGTAAAATCGACTTCGTCCCACCAATCTAGCTCGGTGCATTTCTCTACGCCGCTGGCTTTGAACCACTTCTTGTTCCCGAGGGGCACGAAGAAGTGGCATTCTGGGTGTAATTTTGCGATCTCCATGATTGTAGGATGCGACAAGTGGTCGTAGTGGTTGTGCGAGATCACCACCGCGTCAATGATGGGGATGTCTTTGATCTGGCAGGGCATTCCGGTGTATCTCTTGGGTCCCAGCCAAGTGAAGGGAGAGCATCGATCCGTGAATACCGGGTCGAAGAGGACGCGCAGGCCGGAGGGAAATTCGACATAGTAGCAGGCGTGGCCGAGCCATGTCGCCCTCAACGTGCCCGACGAGGTGCTGGCTGCCCTGGAGGGCAGGAACGTGGGTGAATGGACGGGCACGGTAGGAGGTGTGGTGTCCGGTTTATTTGCTGTTCCCGTGAATCTGCGCACGATGAGACCCCATATCAGGGTGGGCGCCGAGAGCATGTTCCATGATGGCCATGGATTGTCGAACCCGCCCGACTTGGAATGCCAGGCTTTGGCTTTTGTGATTTCGTCGTCCGGCCGGCCGGACGCGGTCGAAGGGACGGCGACCGTGGCGGCGTACACCAAAGCTGCTGTTGACGAGGAAGTCATGGTGCGGAAGCTTGCTGGGTAAGGACGTGGCGGAGGAGGAAATGCGTGGGATGTGAACGGCGCGCGCTTGCTGAACAGCAGCCGGAAGAGGGCGCGCATTGGTATTATAACGCTGGATCTCGCATGCTTACGCTGCTGCCTAGAAAGCCAATGCAGGCCTCGTAAACGACGCGGCGTTGGATGTGGTGTGGTTATCTACTTTACTCGTAGTTTCCATGCAGGTCGTGAGGTTGCGCCCTTTCTTAACTCCGCTGCTGCTGTGGAGATCTGGTCGCGTCCATCGTCATCAATGTCGGACTCGGTGGAAATTCCATTCCGGTTCAGGCAGGAGTCTGGACTCACATTGGGCTCACATGAGGCTTGAATCCTGTGGCAGTATCACGACTTCTGGAAAGTTGCAGGGGGATGCAGAGCGACAATGGGGTGGTGAAGGTCCCTGCGAACCCAGCTTCGGTACCGCCGGGGTTGAATGATGGCGGTGGTGCTGCCCACAAAGCAGACCTGATCCGCCAGTTTGCAAGCTCGGGAAATTCTGGTGACGGCGGATTGATCGCGCAGCTAAGCAACAATCCATTTTTCACCGCGGTAGGTCTGCTACGACAGTCGGTGAGATCGCGACTGACGGTATATCAGGGCTTCGGTCTCGCAGGTCTCACGGCCATCGCCGCGTTCGGTCGACGGGGTATCCGCCATGGAGCCGCCCTCATGCGCCGTCGGCTCCTGGTCGATGTCGAGATCAGCGTCCGAGACGACTCCTACCCTTGGTTTCTATACTGGATGACCCTGCACGAAAGAGGGAGACTTGTGGGCCATGCTGCGCAGGGGAAAGCGGGTCGCTTCGAAGCACTCTTGCAACGCCTCACGCCGGGTATGCGCCATCTGGCCATCGAGACGGAGAAACGAGAATTACCCAACGGCGCTATTCATACGAATTTCGTCCTAATACCGGGGCCGGGGAGACACGTCATCCGCTACAACGGGGCTTGGATCTTCGTCAACCGCCAAAGAGAAGGGAAACAGTTCTCGATGGACGGGAAGCCTTGGGAGACGGTCACTTTGACCACGCTCTACTCTCAGCGCCACGTCTTCGAGTCATTATTCAAAGAAGCTCATGACATCGCAACGCAATCTGTGGAGGGCAAGACGGTCATATACACCGCATGGGGCACGAAGTGGGATAAATTCGGCAATCCGCGGAGCAAGCGACCACTGGAGTCGGTCATCCTTGACAAAGGGGTCAAGGAGCGCATCGTGTCCGACGTCCAGGACTTTCTTTCCTCGGCGAAGTGGTACTACGAGCGAGGGATACCTTATCGAAGAGGCTACCTTCTATATGGTCCTCCTGGTACGGGAAAATCTTCCTTCATCCAGGCGCTCGCCGGCCACTTGAACTACGATATCGCCATGCTCAACCTGAGTGAGCGGGGTCTCACAGACGACAGGCTGAATCATCTGTTGACTGTCATACCTCAACGGACATTGGTTCTACTCGAAGACGTGGATGCTGCATTTGCCAATCGACGCCAAGTCGAAGCTGATGGGTATCAGGGTGCGAACGTGACATTTTCAGGCCTGTTGAACGCTTTGGATGGCGTTGGAAGTGCCGAGGAACGAATCATCTTCCTGACCACGAATCATGTTGACCGGTTAGACGAAGCACTGGTCCGCCCAGGCCGGGTAGACATGACGGTCCGTCTTGGTGAAGCCACCACATATCAGATCGAACAGCTCTGGGCACGCTTCTACAGCGAGCAAGATCCAGAAGGACTCTTCAAGGCGAGATTCTTGCGAAGGCTTCATGAAATCGGGGTGCTCTCTGAGCCTTCAGCAGTCAGCAGCCGGACCAGTATGGCTGCTCTGCAAGGACTATTTTTGTACAACAAGGGAAGCCCTCAAGGTGCTGTCGATATGGCGTGGCAATTGGCGCCTGGCGGGTTACCCAGTGCTCTGACCAAGGAGAGTCGGCAACATGCCAACACCGCTTAAAAGCGTGTAACTCTAGTATATGACCTGTAATGTAAACAAATTGCCACTCCATCAGCCTCGCGGTGGCTGTGCAAGGCTGCGCCACTTTCTCTCATTTGGTGAGAATAACGAATTCAGCTGATCCTGTTCTTGGCTTCTACCCTCATCAGACAGATTCCCAGTCAAATTCATGAGATTTCACCATCAGAAAAGACCGAATTGTATTCTCAAGTCTACGTGTATCTAGCGAGCTGAAAGATGTCGTCGTAGGCCACGGGGACCAAAAGTGATGGCAGATCCTAATGGTTGTAACCTCACCGTACCACGATCTCGAAGTCGGCTATCAGACAAATCGGCCGGCCGATAGGATTCTCAAGGACTGGCGCTTCTCCTCATAACGCATACTCTTCATCCCGCGACATCGTTGTCCGGAAGAGGGATTGATGAAGACGCCACAATACGACTCGAGAGATGACCGATCCGTTTTCAATTGTCACCGGGGTTGCGGGCATCATAACGCTGGCGGGCGAAGTGATCAGCAGATGCTATCGGTATGGCTGCGCCGTTTCCGGCGCCCCCGACGAAGCGAAGCGACTCGTGTCTGAAGTCACTGGGCTCAGTGGTATCCTGGTCGGTGTCCAAGTCTTGGTGAAACAGAGCAGTCTCCCCGAGTATCAGCTGGAACACCCTCTGAGGGACTGTTTGGCGGTCTTGCAAACTCTGTCATCGAAGTTGCAAAAGTACTCTCTGGACTCGAGCCAGTCATCTGGAAAGCGAGCAATCAGTCGGCTCCTGTGGCCGTTACGCAGGAGTGACACGGAAGAACTTATCACGACCATCGAGCGGCACAAGAACTCCCTGTCGCTGTCCCTGAGCTCGCTTTCGGTGTGAGTCCCCACTATGGTTGATTTCCAGAGACCGTCACTCACATGGTAACAGGGAAGCTCTCATGAGTCAAAGCACGACCATCGAAGACATCTCAGACAGTCTTGCGGATCTATCGATGAACGTCAAATCCAGCCACGCAGCACAGCAACGCCGAGACATCCTAGACTGGCTTTCCGAGCACCAGTACGAGGCGCAGTATCAGCGCAGCTATCAACTCCACTGCTCAAACACATGTCGTTGGCTCCTAGCTGACCCTGCGTTTCTCGACTGGTCGAAAGCCAGGTCATCTCTCCTGTGGATGCATGGCCAAGTAGGCACTGGGAAGACGATTGCCACGAGTTATCTCATCCATCACCTGATCACCACGAAACGGAGCGACTCGCTGCTTGGGTACTTCTACTATGATGCCAGTACGATGGAAAGCCTAACGCCAGAGAGTTTCTTCGGCGCAATCATCAAGCAGTTCTGCTCGGACCTTCCTGAACTCCCCGCCGGGATTGTCGATGCATACGCGAGAGCTTCGAATCGCACGGGGAGCCCGAAACGAGCAAGCCTGGGCGACCTCGAGTCTTTCTTGCGTTCCCTCCTTGAGAGTCATGACTCTGCAACCATCGTGGTGGACGGCTTGGATGAGTCACCCAACTACGCGGCCGTGTGCGACTTCCTGACCTCGACCGTCTCGGCGGGCAAATATGCCTTGCGAGTCTTCATCAGCAGCCGGCCGGAGCTGCATCTTCGGCGCCGATTTCGTGGATTCCGAGAGATCCCAGTACCCGAAGTCGCGGTCGAGGAGGACATCAGTGTCTATATCAGGATGAGAATAAACACAAGCCCACGACTCCGGCGTATGAGCGACAAGATGAAACACTACGTGGAGATGACTCTGCGAGCAGATTCTCATGGCATGTGAGTTCAAGCACAAGATCATGAACAAGCCACGAGCAAATTGGCTGACTCCTGCAGGTTCCGTTGGGTGCAATGCCAGCTGGACGAAATTTCACGGCTGAGGACTGACGCGGCTCTGAAGAAAGCCCTCAATCACCTACCATCCAGTCTTGAAGGCTCCTATTTGAGGATCCTAAACACCATCGCCCCGGAAGATGTTGCGTTTGCGAAAAGGGCCCTCTTGTGGCTCGCTCACGCCTCGACACCGCTGAGCCTGACCGAGCTTGCGGAAGCCGTGGTCCTGGAGCCAGAATTTGACTTCTTGGATTCCGACTCGAAGCTGAACGACCCAAACGACGTCATCGACATCTGCCGCAGCCTGATCGCCTTCAATCCGCTGTCCAAAACTGCACGTATTGCCCACCACTCGGTGCGCGAGTTCCTCACAGAACGACTGGATCAGACTTCCGAGTTCCACATTCCACCTCAGATGTCGCACCGGATGATAGCCGAGGCATGTCTCTCGTACCTGCTGCTAGATGACTTTGCGGCGGGGCCATTGTACCGGGAAGACTTTTCGTGGACGCTTTCGAACTTCCCGCTTCTGAGGTACGCCGCCCAGAATTGGCCGTTTCATGTGCAGTCGTCTGGCGCGGAGCTCGAATTGCTCCCTCTTATCCGCAAGTTGATGACCATCAAGGCGAACCCCAAGTTCTTCTTCTGGCTTCAAGTTGTCCTCTTTGATTCCAGACACGGCTATCTCACTCCCGGCGCGGAGCTCGAGGACGCCAGACCGCTGTATTACGCCGCATCTTATGGTCTGACAGAGACAGTCAGGAGTCTAGTGCAGGCCGGCGCCAACCTTGACGAGTGCGCCGGAAGATACGGCGGCACGGCTTTACATGCCGCGGTATGGCGAAAACAGCCCGAGATACTAGACATTCTCCTCGATGCCGGGGCCGACCCGACCATCAAAGACTACAACGGAGCGTCCCCGGCGGATCTCTCCATCTGGAGTGGATCGAGGTCTTTGTATCTTCGCATCTCCGAGCGCGATCGTGACCGTGATAGTAAGAACGCGCTGGCACCATTGATTTCAGCAATTCTCAGAGTCAGGGAGAAGGAACTCTCCGCCACAGACTCCAGGTTCGATGCCGAAACCGAGGAGGTAGTTTCCCTGGTCAGGAGCCAGCCTGAAGGTGTAATTGAACGGCTGAAAGAGGAGAAAGGCTTTGATGACGATGATGATGATCCGATGACAATTCATTTCCCGGCAGTGCGTAAAGAAGCTTATGCTTTGGCGAAGTTACTTGGCGGCGGCGATACCAGCACGGGGATAGGCAGAGCCGGCGACACCAAGGAGAGTCCTCTACCCTCCGCCCGATTGGCCGGTGGTGCTGGATCCTTGCAGGCTGCGGAGTTGGATATCAAGCCCGAAACGAACCAGGACTGAGAAGAGAAGACTTGACCCGACAGGGCAAGCAAGCAAGGCAGCATATCAAAGTCCTCCACGCGTCAGAGACCGGACGTTGTAACTGGCGTCTGATCGCCATCCGTTCAGCTACAGTCTAAGCAGACTCGTTGGGATCTATGGCAGGGAACGGAGCCACAGCTGCCATGTGCGCCCATACCGAGCAATGACTTGAACGAAGCACTCCAACGTACAAGTCGAGGCCAGTGGATACCGAATGAGGCAAGGAATTTATTGACAGCAAGCCAGAGAACGCCCTGCCGCTCTAAAGTCGGATGTGACCCCAAGACCAAACAAGCAAGCTGCTAGAAGTGCACCTTTAGGTGACTATCTAGTCTGATGAATGTATGATTGATTGCAGGTCTGGAATATAGCTAGTACCAGCTAGCTATGGATGGAAGACAGCACCTGTCGCCCGGGCGACCTCAGGTGGTACATAGGTAGGCACACTGGCTGCCTCCCGCCACCACACAAGCCGAAGCGGTGGTTGTTGAATTGCGGCACGACTCCCACACATGCAGCCGACACTATGTTTCGTTGAATCCAGTAACGCCGAGGTTGCATCCAGAGAGTGTGTGTGGTAGGGCACCGCAGTATGTCATCGATCTCTTACTGAGTCTATCTCTGGGGAGCTAGGCTCTCAGCTATGGCCTATGAACTGTGTTTCCCGTGCCTCCTTTGCGTGGCGTCGCATGGCCAGGGCACGAACGGGACTGCCCGCAACAGTGTGAGCGTCGTCAATAGCGTTCAGAAAGGGTAAAAAACAGCACTTGACGAGCAAGCCACGCTACAGCAGACGGAAGTGTGACGAAATTTTCCAGAGGGGAGTATATATCGAAGGTCTGGTCTACGGCGATGAGCGTGAGCAAGAACCTTGTCAGGAGTATAGGCATGAGTATAGACAAGAGCCTTGGCATGAGCGTGAGCATGAGCGTGAGCAGGAGCAGGAGCAGGAGCAGGAGCATGACGGAACATGAGAAGTAGCATCAACGAGCATCAACGAGCATCAGCGAGCATCAACGAGCATCAACGAGCATCAACGAGCATCAACGAGCATCAACGAGCATCAACGAGCATCAACGAGCATCAGCGAGCATCAGTGAGACTATAGGCAAGAGCACCAGCGGGACTATAGGCAAGAGCACCAGCGAGCCTAAACCCGCTACGGGCCCAGGACAAGGGCATCATCACTCTACAATATTACATACAGTACAGTACAGTACTTGACTTCCCCGACCCGCCGAATGAAAGATTGAACGGTGCAATAGACTGTAGACAATGGCGAGCAAAGAAAGAGCAAGTGTCAAGCAATTCTCAATCCGGGTTTCTCGTCCCACCACCTGCAGTCTGCCCGGCATATGTCATTATACTCCGTACGCTATGTATGTATATATGTCTGGCCTTGTGGTCGTATATCAGCTCAGCCCAAGATACTGTACCTTGCAAACGCTAACAATGCAGCCAGCCGTCTACTGCAAATGCAGTACGTAGATGGAAAGACAGATACTCAGACAGATACCGCCGACTGCACATCACACTACGATAGTGTAATGCAACGCCGCGCACCGTGTCCTGCATCCTCACCCATGCCACCGAAACACACTGCTCTGTGGCGTCTTCAGCTCCGTCGCACTGACAGCCCCACCCCCCTCGCTCTTGTACGCGCTGGTCAACGGCTCAAGGGCCTCATACGACGTCGTCGACTCCCCTTCCCAGGGGACCATAAGCCCGGTCTTCCCAAGGCCACTCCCGTACACCTTGTCACGACGAAACCGGACATCCCAGCCCGCCGTGACGGGGACGCTGCCTCCACTCTTGCCCTTCCAGGGCCCGACACCCCGGCCCTCGAACGCCAGGCGCTGGATCTGCAGGATGTCGTCCTCGTCCCAGGCCTGCTTGGCGGCGTCGCCGACCGGGGAGGTGCGCTGGAGCCGATGCACCATGCCCGGAAGGACCACGTCGACGAGGATGATGAGCAGACTGACGCACAGGATGATCAGAATCCCCGCCATGCTGAAGGAGCTGTGGGTCGTGACTTTGACGCGCTGGCTGCGGCACAGCGCGAGGCTGTCCGCGTCCGTCTCGGGCACGATGTGGTCGATCAGCTGGAGTCCCGGCCGGATCTGCACGTCCGTGGCGGCCGCGTGGGAGATCATGTTCAGCTGCAGGCCGGCCAGCGTAATGTTGTGGATGTTTTCGATCTCGATGTGCCATGCCGTCGGCGTGAGCGGGGTCGAGATGCCAAAGGAGCCGTACACGAGCTTGTTGGCCGCGAGGATCTCGTTCTTCAGGAACATCAGGAAACTGTTGAACCGGAGCGAGTAGACCATGTCGCGGAGCAGGCGGTACGTGGCGGTTTGGCGCGCATTGAGTGACAGGGCCGCCGGCGGGGTCGTGAGGTCGTAGTCATACAGCGCGCCCAGGGGCCCGCAGAGCGGTGAGTCGGCAGCGTCTGAGGAGGCTGTATCGGAATCAGGGTCGCGGAGAGCCGGGTTGCAGAACTGGTATTGTTCGGTGCAGGCGATGCCCGTGAGGGTTTTGTCCGAGACCCACGCGTCCGCGAGGCGGTTGCCTCCAGAGTTGAGGTGTGCTTCGAAGAACGGGTCGTCGACTCTGCCCGTGTAGGCGACGCGGTTGTTGAGCGTCAAGAGCGAGACGTCGGCGTCCGTGCGGTTCAAGTCGGCGTCGGGGAAGAAGCCGCTCTCGGTGAAGTTCTTTGCATACGCGGTACGGACACTGCGGAACGTTAGTCAAAATATACGGCAGACGCGCGGATGTGGTATGTATGACTTGCCCAAATGTATATGGAAGTCCATTCACGTAGAGCGAATAATTGCTCATGACGAAGGTGAAGTTGCTGACCGGCGCCCCAAACAGCCAGCTCGATCCCATCGAGTAATACTTGAACGTGTCGTTGGGGAACAGCGTCGGGAAGAACATCTCGGTCCCAGGTTGGATGTCTGAAGTCCACTCCGTAGAATACGCCTCCATATCAATCGGGGCGCAGGACGTCTTCTTCCGAATCTGTAACCGACTCTTGGGACCCATGTTGATGCCGAGGTGACGATTAGAATCCATCAACCCAGTGTCGAGCGTTATCGCCGGGTGCGTGCACACTCCGGGGGCGAAAGGGCAGTCCGCTTCGCGATTGATCTCCGACTCGATGTACGGTATGCTCGGGGATTTACACTGCGCGTCGGAGCTGTTCTGGATGTTTCCTGCATAGCACGTCTGCGCGTAGGTGAGATGACCGCGGTAAGCGTTGTACGCGGCGACAAACAGCGCATCGCCTGTCTCCCAGTCACTAGGCGTCCACAGGGGAAAGTCCTTGTTTGCCGTCAACTCCAGATTTCCGCAAAGCCCAACGAGAAGCCCCTCGCTGTCGCCGACCGTGACACGAGCCGACAGAATACCAGCCACAAGGAAGGCGATTAGATTCACCGCAGCAAGGATGGCGAGAGGGAATCCTCTCCGAAACGCTGCAGGTGTGCTTGCCCTCCACGCCCAACTGAGTCGGCACATCCGGATGAGAAAGTCTGTTTCGGAGACCTTTGACCGCAGGAGCGCCTGATGCTGATAGTGCAAGCCATCGTGTGAAGCCGAAGTCGCCCGGATATCATGGAGGACAAAACAGATGATGCCCCAGAAATGGGTGCCCGCCCATTTCACGACCAGGGCGAGAAGGGCGATAAGGACAAGACCCCAGATGGCTGGGACAGTCAAGGTCAATCCGAGCGGTGGCCCTAGGTCTGATGAAGGTTAACCGAGCTATTCTTCGACAGATTGGTTTTCGTGGAAAAGGGATCGACTCACTCCAGTTCTGCCACACGCCAACATACACGTCTTTGTCAGCCATTTCTCACAAATGTGCCCGAATTCTACACTTCGACCGACACTGTGGCAGACCTCGTAAATCCAGGCGCTCGCATAGTGCGGGAAGAAAAGACAGGAAACCACGCTGGCTGACGAGGCGGTTTTCATTCTGCGCCATGTCTGCGATATCATGCTGTGAAGGGGCTATTCTGCAGCGACAAGACCACGGGCGTCGCACGGTCTGAGAAGCACTGCCTCTGCCGGACTCAAATGGTTGGACACAATTACCTGCTGAAAGCGTCGTCGATGTTGAACACGAGAGACAAGAGTTGGTGAGGTCTGGGCGCGTGGTGCTAGATCTGGCGGGCACTGGGACAGGGGGGTAAGGAGGCCATCCGCCCTGTGCCACGGGGGGCAGTTGAGGGCTTAGCGAGAGCCTGGCCCGCGTGCTGAGCCCCACCTGCCCGACTGATTGGCGACTAAGGCTGTTTCCGTCTGCCCGATTAGTACCCTTGCCAATCAAAACGCATTTCCTTCGCTAGTCAAAAATGCTTCAACCAATCCGAAGTGCTTGGTGCAGCTGAGTAGTGGGGCAATACTGCCGCTTGTCGGTTCTGCCTTGTACAAGGACAGGTTCACTGTAGGAAATTGCCATGATTGATTGACAGTTCATTCCACATTCCCACGACCACGGCACTGGCCAAGCTCAGACTATGTAGCTTCCGATCGCTATTCGAGCGGAGAAGCGGCCGGCGCCATACTTATGGCTGCCTTGTCGTTTACGACCCGCCCCTCTCATCTTGTTTCCGGCAGTGCCACGCCTCCAGCCTCGTTGTCGTCCCCGTCTGACCCAACGTCCGCCGTGAGATCATCTGCGTCAACTTCCACGACTGGCCCAGCATCATCCACAGGCTCGACCTCGGGACTGGAGCTATTTCGTCTCAGACTTGCATCCACTGATTCCTCCAGGATGTCAATCAGGCTAGCACCAGCGGCATCAGCATTTGTGACCGTGGCTCTGTTCCCACTGACTTCGTCCTCATCTTTCCCATTACCCGTTGTGCCTTTCTCCTTTTGAGCGTCCGTCCATCCCTTGCTCATATTGACAAGCGGGGTCTCCTCATTGAACAGTCTCAACAGCATGGCTTTTCTGTCCTCCTTGGGCAGCATGAGGTTCAAGCTTTGAATGCTCTTCCATAGCGGAAAGACCATCCTCTCTTTCAAGCCCTCTCCATCGGCCGCGTTCTCGTCGGTTTCGGTCGGTTCGACGATCAAAACACAACAACCCATGCTCAGTTTCCTGACTTGCTCGCCTACTTCTCCCAGTTGCTCCCCTTCTTCGCCGTTGAATTTTGGAAACATCTCAATCAATAACTTCCTCAGTGTCTCCTTCTTCCTCAGTCTGACGATTCGCTCAGGCCCGACCCACGTCTCCAACAATCTCAGTCCATCAGTCTGTATCCGCCACGGACAAACTTCAGGAGAAGGGGCATCTTGCTTGACAAACATCTTCACGCCGGCGTGTACGAATTTCAACCCCTTGCCTTCATTTTCCTGTAGGATTTCTTTGGAGAGTTCACTGGTGTAATAGATGTTCTTCGTGGCCGTACCGTCAGGGTTCCGGACCATAAAGCGGGTGAGCGGGAAACGAGGCGAAAGATTGTAGAAGTCGCGGATTCGCATTATCTCCGGGAGGGTCGAGGAGAGGTATTTGAACGGCTCTTCAAAGGGTTGATTGCGATTCTTCTTGTTGGGGTTAGACGGTGGCTGTGTGGCCTTTGTAGGCTGTTGAGGGAGTGAGTCGGTAATGGAGGCTGCCGATGGGAGACTGGAGGGGGTGCTTTCAAGGTTCTCTTCACTTTTAACTCGCTTGAGCGGCGAAGTAATGCCGTCCTGATCGCTGTCGTCCTCGCGCTTACGCTTCGTGAGCGTTGCGGAGTCCTCTCTGGCGGTGTTATTCGCGGTGCCGTCGCCGTTGGCGATGCCGTTCCCGCTCTCCACGGCAGCACCAGAGTTGGCCTCAAGCTCGACCTTGGGGGCTCCTGAAATTTCGACCTTGGGAGCGATTGAATGCTTCTCCTCTGGCTTGGCTTTGATCTCCGACTTCTTTTCCAAGATGGCGATAAAGAAAGCTCCCGTGTCCTGTTGATGAGGATAGACACGCATGGCTCGATCGAGAGGCAACTCATCTTTGGGGGGAAACATGCCCTCTGACAATCTATTAAGTGCATCATCTGCCCCTTGCTCCTCCCTATGCTGTAGCACAGAGGAATGGTCTTTCCAGATCCGGCCAGCCTTATCCATGACACTCCATTCACGAAGCCCGGAAGAGCGCTTCAAGCCGGGCAACAAGTCCTTCGTCTCGAGGATCTGGACCCACTGGGCACCACCACAGCGGTTGATAGCTTCTGCGAGCACAGCCTCGTCTTCGACTGGATTCATGCTGCAGGTCGAATATACCACCCGGCCCCCAACTTTCAGCATCTGGAGGGCTCTGACGAGAATCCGGACTTGGGTCGCGTGGAGCCCGAGGCCATTGCTCGGGGACCAATTCTTCCAGATCTCCATGTTCTTCCTCACCGTGCCGTCGCCGGAGCACGGTACATCGGCCAGAATGCGGTCGAACTTGAGATAGCGATTGGGTACCGGCTTGCCCTCCGTTGTCGGTGGTGAAGCGATTTTGATGGACGGATACACTGTGGCATCGTGATTCGTGACGATGATATTGGGCGAGCTTAGACGCTTCATCTGGTGGACCAGCATATGTGCTCGCCTGTAGTCAACGTCGTTGGCGACGAGTAAACCTGTCGATCGACCGTCGTCTGCAAAGTCTTCGCCTGGTGGGCTATCCAGGTCCGGATTGGAAGCGACGCGCCTGCATCTTTCTTCCTCGCCGGCATGTATCATCTCGATCAGCTGGGCGGATTTGCTGCCCGGCGCAGCACAAAGATCCAGCACCGACATTCCTGGTTTCAGATCCATGACCAACGGCGGAATCATGCTAACCACCTCTTGTCGGGTTATATTGCCTACATCGGTCTCGGCCACGAGGAACTTTTGAAAGGAGGCGAAAGGCTTGAATCGGCGGATGACATTCTTCGGAGTGGTCATGAACCAGGCCAGTTGCTCGGGGTACCACTCGACCGGTCGCGGGGCGTCGACATACTGGCCTTCGTATGTTATGGAGGTGATCTCGGGGATGTAGTAGTCTTTGAGCCGTTGCTGGACTGCGAGCGCATGTCTGAGATTATTAGCCCATCAAACGCCATCGGTGTTACGAATCGACATACTCTCGCGAGCCCGTGAATCTGAAGCTGTTGGGAAGATCTCTCCTCATAGCCTCCCAGAAGGCATCCTTCTCATCAGCTGGCAGTATGCCAAGTTGGTTGTAGTACTTTTCGAACCTTTCATTCTGTCGGGGGATATCCTGCTTGCTGAAGCGAAAGTCGCGATTGTCGCGAGGACGAGCTGGTCCACCTCTGCCGCCACGGCCGCCACCCTGTACAATCGTTAGGAGCTGCGCTGGGGAGGACATTTGCGAGACGTCTGCTTACCTTCCTACCGCCACCGCGCTTGCCCATCGTTGACTTATGCGAGGTTATCGAGGTGTATGCCGCAGCAGACACGTACGCGGAACAATTCAATTCATGCTAATTACGGTGTGGGGAAATTTTCAGATGCGCTTTCACATGCGGGGAGGAGCGCCAAGCAAAGCGCCTGTACGTACTGTACGGAGTATAGGCAGGGAAATACCAGAGTAGTAGGTAGATAGACATAAATGTGCGCTGAGCTATGTACTTGGGTATCGGTCCAGCGTAGTCCAGTCCGTCTCATCGGCCTTTGGCCAACTTTGCGTGATGGACTTTCCACTCCGCGCGTGCAATCCTCATGAACAGATCCTCGTCCTGAATCGGGATCCAACTGGTCAATACCTTCATCGCGTTCTCAAAGTCCGACTCCAACAGTATATCGCGCATGCCGTCAATCAGCGCCGCGCTCGCCGCGTGTAAAACATTCAAAGTCGTGCCGAAGTTCGGCTCTTCCGCCCCATCTGGCCCATCCTTTCGTTTGGAGGACATCGTCCCTCGACTCGGAGGCGGCGCTGTGGCCACGGTCGTATCATCGCCCAACAACATGAAAACATCCCACACCCTCAATTGTGCGGGAAACGGCACAGTATAGTTGAACAGCGTAAGATACCATCTCGTCCCGTACGCCGTGGGCCCTATGCCCAAGCCCTCCAGTTTCTTCGCCACCTCGCCCTCTCCAAGCCATCCCTTCTCAAAGTCATCAAGCGCAGACATCAGCCCACCGAATCCAGACGCGTATAGTTGACCGAGACCTCGGAGCTCCCACATGCGCACGAGCATGACGAAGGCCTTTTCTTCGTCGTAGTACGCCAGGAGCGTGACGGCGAGAGCCGCCATGCCCTGAACATACCCTGTGGCCGGGACGTGGAGGGACATGGCGTGCAAGACGCGGAACAGGAGTCTCTGACCGCCTCGGTACCGCCGCCGAAACATGATATGACTGGAGATAGTGCGCGGCACATCGAGGTCGATTTGCACATCGTCTGGCGAGGGTTGGTCTTGGTACAGATGGAAGAGGGAGGTCAACTCTGCGTCACTGGGCTGGTTCTTCCGTTTCGACGCGGACGTGCTGAGGAACGAGTGCCATGCCGTGGCGCGCCACTTATCAGGAATGCCTTTCCACGTGCGCTCGATGAGTTTGGAGCTTGAGACGTCGAATGTATATTCGCTCTCTGAGCCTGCTCCAACAAGGGGAAGGCCAGTCTTGGGATCCTTGGACGGCGGTTTCGCACGAGCCATACGTCGCCATTTCTCTTCACGCTCGAGCTCCTTCCGCCGGGCGCGCGCATTAGAGATGTGCACGTGTCCGTCCTCGACCGTTTGTTGTGCTGAAGTGGGGAGCGTGAGCATATCCATCGCCGAATCCATCAGACGACGATTCCGGGAGCCAGGAACGGGGAGGCGGGACGATGCTCGTCGGCGTGGTGTGCCGGCATATCCGCTCTGAGAACTCATGGGTCGAGGCGGCGTCGTCTCGGCTGTCCCGGTTTTACTCTGTACGGACCGCATCGAGCCATGCGCACTGCTGGGCGTGCGCCGGAGCGTCCTTTTCCGTCGTGGTGTTTCACTGGCCATTTGTAGACTCGTGGTTACCCGAGTGAGTCGCTGGGGTTTGGATTCATCGGCGCCGGCGGTGGCAGGTGTCTTGGCAATGATAAAACCGTAGCGGTCGATTTCTTGGGCGTCGACATCTTTCCAGTCTTCGAGGCCTCCGGCTAGTTCATACTCCTCGCGCTCAAGCAGTATGTGTGACTGGGAGATGGAACCCGCCATGCTTGGTTGTCGCAAGCTGGTCATTTCGTCATTCATGTCAGTGGTCGAGGTAGCCCGTGATAGAGACGGTATGCTGACACTGCGGGTATCGGCTCCCAGCGTCGACTGCCATCGCGTTCCCATTCGTACCGCCAGATTGGTGTTGGACTCTGTCTCTTGCTGCCCATCTGTTCCTGCAGCGTAGAATGCCCGGACCTTCTCTGACAACATCTCTTCATCCGCCGAGAGCACCTTTGCATTTGAGCGATCATTCGGGGCAGGCCTTGGAGTGGGTGCCGGAGTAGATTCTGGCGCCGAAGTCTTTGCCAAATTGGACTCCTCTTCCACTCTCTCTTCGTCCATGATGGCGGAGAGATTGGGGGACGTTTTGCGACTTGACTGGTTCACCCTTCGGCCATCGATAAGCATGCTCCCCCTTTTCGAGAATTCAATGCTGTTCGTCGGCAGGAGCTCCTCGCCAAATCCAGTTGTAGGAATACTGACATCAAACGACAGTGCCTTGAACGTGCCGGGTGTGTTTGCGCCAACGTCTTTTCCTGATGCAGCCGAAGTCGATGTGTACGGTTTCAGTGACAACCATCTCCTGTCGTCGCCAGTACTGTAATTGCTGCTGCGGTCGACGGGGGAGGTTCGGACAGCGGGCTCATCGAAACGGATCTGAGGAATGCTGACCGTGGCAGACGTAAGACTCGACAGAGTGGGGGTTCTTGTGTTGAGACTCAGAGTTGTGCTGGTCTGACTTTCCCTCGCGGAGATTGAATCTGGCCCGGCGGCCTGAATGCGAGGGGCGTCTCCATCCTGTGGCAACGACGCGTGTAAATTGTATCTCTTATTGGAGGAGAGCGACGCGGTATCCCCGGTCGGCGGAGAGGGCTGTGGCTTCTCGATTTCGCGAAGTAAGGACGAGGTCGAGCGCGTGACCCGGATGGGAGGTTTGGACGCCCTGGTCTCGCTGTAGGGCAATCCCTGAAGACTGTGCTTGAAGTCCGGGAGGGATGCGTGGAACTCGTGATCGCCCATCACGGCAGACGACCTGGCCTTACCAGGGCAAGACGGCGCACCCGTGAATCCTTGCTCTCCCGAAACTCAAGGGTCGCGTGGGCGGCATAGGCTCGGATTCAGGGACGCGTGATTGGGAGGACACTGAACAAGCGCCGACACTCGGCGTGAAGTTCAATCGTCGCGTTCTTCGTCGTCTATCGCAGCAGCAGCAATGCGTGAATAGAATCAGCGGGAACAATCTTCTGTTTGCTCCTTTTTGGATTGTTTGTCCCCGTCAAAAAGGAGAGCGGGCGACGTCATGATCTACTCAAGCGAGACGAACTTGGCCAGCCTCAGCCAGTTTGACAGGTCCCTATTCTCAGAGTTACCTTTCCGGAAATTTTGCTTGCATAGACGAGATGTCGCTCAGAAGCTGAACTCCGGAAGACATGTGCCTTGTACCGAACCGTGTCACACAGCAGCTACAAAGCTTCGCCCGCCTCCAACAATGGCAGCAGGGTTCTAAACATGCGGCGCCGTCTACGAACTCCGGCTGCGGAGTATCATTGCAGGTGCCCTTGGGATGATCATAAAAGCCACTACGGAGTACGGAGTACCTGGTGTGGCATTCCCCAGCTTGGAAGCGTCACTCGCCATCGCACATTATCTGGTCGCATTGTATTCTCCTGCCCCGTCGTGCTTGCTCATGCCAAGCTAGCAGCGCATTATGCGCAATATTGCCTGGGAGTTCGTGTACCCCCCGAATATTCCACTTTGAGTGAAGATTGAAGTATAGCCGCCTTCCAACGTAGCCTTTTGCTGGAAAAGTCCTGCACTAACGAATAGTTCGCCCTGGTCATCATAAAATCTGCAGGGGGAGCTCTGAACGAAAGACTGGCGCAGTCCGCATGCTCGCGTGCCGCTGTCAAATACATATGTCTCCTATCAAACACCGAAGTGTCTTCGTCCACTTGGGTGCGGTAGAAGCTCCTCGAAGACAGTATCATCCCTCTGTGGGTTTGCGACGCTCTGACAGACTGTCACCTTGGTACGGCGTAAGTTTGTTGTCAAAAAGTGTCAAAAGTGGATGTACACAGTACGGAGTACTGTGTACCCCGAAGGCGATGTGACAAGGCTGGAAGGGCTTGGCGCGTCTCCTGATCTTATCTTATCGATCTGCGATTTGGGTTTCTCTGCAACTTTTTCTGGCGGCGACAAAACTCTCTGGACAAGCCTCGAATGCTGCTGTCCTGCCGACCTCTACCACACTCACAATGACAGTAGAAGATCAGACGAGCACCTTGCTTGCCACGCTGACCACCGCACTGGAGTCTGCGGCTTCAGCATTCCCCGACACAGAGCAACAGTTCCTCCCGCCCGGTGAAGGCATTTCTCTCCTCGATATCAAGAATGACCTCCTGCTCTCATACCTGCAAAACCTTGTTTTCTTGGTAGTCCTCAAACTGCGAAATGGCTACAGCGAGGACTCTGCCGATATAACCTCCGACGTGGTGAAAAAGCTGGTCGAGTTAAGAATCTACCTGGAAAGAGGCGTGCGCCCACTCGAAAGCAAGTTGAAATACCAGATTGACAAAGTGGTGCGGGCAGCGGAAGAAGCCGACCGGCGCACCGCCCGAAAGGTGACGGCGAAGCAAAAATCAAAGGAGCCCACAACGAAAGAGCTCGCGGGCGATGTATCGGACGAATTTGACTCAGACACCGCAGAATCAGACGACGACCACGATGCGCAAGAGAAAGACGTGACAAATGCCGACTTCTCAGCGGCGCCGAGACCAGCTGCTCTTCTACAAAGTGCAGGCGCAACGAGGAAAGAAGGCGCAACCTCGAAATCACCATCTACGGCATCTGGCGCATACAAGCCACCACGTATTACACCCACGGCAATGCCCGTACCTGCCACACAGAGAGATCGCGATGCTCCCGCACGAAAACGCAAGTCGCATCTCCTGGACGAGTATATCGACGAGGAACTATCGACAGCACCTCGCGCTCAGCCCTCCATTGGCTCTAACCACACGATCGTCAAACATGGTCGTGGCGCCATGTCGACCCGTGACCGGGAGAACGAACGGGAAAGAGCCGATTATGAGGAACGCAACTTCGTCCGACTTCCCGCAGAGAGCAAGGCCGAGAGAAGGAAGGCAAGACTTCGAGGTGAGGCCGACAGCCGGGATTTGTTTGGTGGCGAGGACTGGACAGGTCTCGGGGGCCTTGGCGATCGGATCAACAGGACTGTGGCTGGACGGTCGAGAGATGAGGGAACAAGCTTGCTGGAACGGAGGCAGAAGAGAGGGAGGGACACGCAAGATGGACCGAGAAGAGATGGTGTCGGTATTGGTGAAAGCTTTGAAAAGCGAAGGAAAGTCATGCAGCAGAGGTTGGACAAGAAATCCAGAAGGAAGGGCTGAGAGGGCTAGTCCTGGAATGAAGCATGGCTCGACAGCAGTGTGCTGTGAACTCCCGAGAAGCCGGACATCTTCGCATCCTCGTAATGAGCCTGTCAATCCGCCGTTAACACTACGCCATGCCTCCTGGAGAAGGAGGATACAGTGCTCAATCACTGTCACTATTGCTCGACAGAGGATCAACTACCACCGCCAGCCAGCAAAGACTACACGCTTCGGCGGCGAGCCCGAGCTGTCCGATCTCCTGTGTCATCGGATATGCCCATCCACCTTGAGATTGATGCCCATGCACCAGATCTAGCAACATATATGACTATCAAACATCGGAACTACAGGACCCACACGTGCTCGTCAACGGCATCAGACAGAGGGCCAGCCAGGCCTAGTGGTACAGTACTTCCACCGTCCACTCACAGACTTGCTCCTTACACTTGGAATAGCCCGAGGTAATTAGACCTACTCGTAGCGGGAAAGGAGACATGATGATTAGTGAGTGACGGGCAAACCTATGAAGACTCGCCGTGGAACGGACACTGCGGTTCTGTGTCAGTACCAGTACTAGTATCGGTATTAGCATCAGCATCAGGATCAGCATCAGTATCTCCATCCACGTCTACGTCTCCCGCCCACCAACGAAGCAACCAATGCTGGTTCTGGTTCTGGTTCCGGTTCAATAACAGCCTTGCATGAGCCGAAGGACCCCCGGACTAGCCGTGTCCTCGGACGGGTTCACTAATCAGTTTTCAATTTAAGATACAGATTACTCGCAATGGTACACTGTAGCATATATAGAAAGCACGATTTCCCATTCTCACCGCCCTTCACATCTTAATCCTCATCGCCAGTCCTATTGTCAGGTCCCGCTGCTGCCATTGCTGTGCGTGTACTCCGTGCTACACAGCAAGGCTTAACACACCAGTCACGATCACGCACCATTAAACGTTGTCACAATCATTCAACTCTAATCAAGATCTTCAAGTAGTACTGGGGCCACAACGACCAGTTTCCACATTCACACATCTTCCGCTCCATCTGGAATCATGCCTCTCTGGAGAATCTTCTCCCATCCCAGCACATTCTCGCCCGTCCAAAGACAAGACCTCGCCAAGGCGGTAACAGCGCTGTACGTCTCACGCGGCCTCCCTGCCTTCTACGTCAACGTGATATTCGTCGACTTACCCGACGCGGATGGCGCCAATCCCTCATGCTTCGTCGGCGGTGAGCCACGGCCCAATTTCGTGAGGGTCGTGGTCGAGCAGATTGCACGGACCATGGCGGCTAGTGACACCGACCAAGGCAAGGAGAGGCGGCGGAAGTGGATGGATCTGATTAACGAGGTATGTTTTCCCGGTGTATGGTTTTCGGCGACGTAGGCTCGAAAAGGTTGCGAATCAATGTTGGCTGGATGAGATGACCTTTTCCGCGTCGTCCGGGTGCTGTGGGTTCCATGGACTGTGCTGATATTGGGTGCATATAGACCTTGAAGCCGTCTATCATCGACAGGCCCGAAATCGACTGGGAACTGCACATCTACGAGACCCCACGGGATCTCTGGAGGATCCAGGGCTTGGATCCGCCGCCGGCGTTCTCCGATGCAGAGAAGGTGTGGGTTGAGAAGAACAAGCCCATCCCGTATGAGAAGTTGTGACAGGGTGATCCATCTCCAGCGCAGCGGCAAGGTGGAGAGCTGTATGGCAGGGTGGGTGTAAACGTTGTTCACACAAGCTTTGGCGCAAAGTACCATAGTGCTGCAAGTCCCGAAAGGACAGTCGCTCCAGCGACCTGTCGTGCCCACTGATTATTCTTCGAGACCTTCATTCTTCCAATGTTGTGTTGCTGTGTTGAACGCGCACTCCCTTTGCCCTTGATCTTCTCGGCCGTCCGTTGCTGCAATAGACCCGCCATCTCCGTCCGATTACTCTCCTGAGCAGCGGCAAAATCTTGGTATTCCTGAATCAGTCTCTTCAGGCCTTGGATATCCTCCTCCAAGCTTTCGATAGCGCCCTTGCCCTCCTGGATCTCCACGCTCTGCACGTTCCCAAAAAAGTCGACCACTCTCCTTTTGCGGCCTGCCTCCTCGCCACCAGGGAACAAGTCCCACCTGACGCCGGGTCGACTATGGATCTTGCCCACATCATAGCTGTCAAAGAGATCGCCCAGCGTTTTGTCGCTGGTCGGCCCTGTGACTTGCGACTCCAAGAATTCCAGCACGTAGTACGTCCAGCGATCGATGACGGCAACTCCCACGTCATTGTCCGCGTGGTGAGAGTATGAAGACTCGTCCTCTTCGCTCGAGCCAGTGGCTATCACCCCCGGCGCGTAGAATTGCCGATACAGCGTGTTGGCCTGGCAGGTGTCGATCATGAATAACATCTCATTGTACCGCTTCTTCTCCCGCATCTGGGAAAACGCATCGGCCAAATCCCAGCTGGAAATCTCCTCGCTGTCTTGAAACTTGAGGAATTCGCTGCCGCCGTGTCCGGTCATGTAGATCAAAATGTTACTTCCTTCATCCGTCTGCAAGCGTTTGCTGGCAGGGACACTTTCTTCCCAGCGGTCGGTGAGCAAGCGGATGAAGTTCTCGACCGTGACTTCGTAGCCGCGGTAGTCGACCTCGACGTTCTCGCCGTATAGGTCCATGCGTCGATCGGCGTTGGAATAGACGGTGCCGGAGAATGCGTTGCGCGGGTTACACGCCATGTCGTCGGGCAGGAGGAGAAGGATCTGCGAATCCGGGATCCCAAGCCGCTTGACCGTGCGGTAGAGGGAGAGCGTGTTAGCGAGGTGGCGGTAATTGAACCAGAACCGCGAGGTCGAGACGAGGACGGCCCAGTTGGAGGTGTGGGCGGCGAGGGTCGTCGTGAGAAGGGCGAAGGCCGCCCACAGCGAGAGAGGGAACCTCATCTTGAGTGTGAAGTGTTTATCTGTGCTATTTCAGGTCCGACACCCTCAGTCAAGTAGCAATGACCCAAGATGTGGCCATCCTCACAACACTTCGTCGAGGTCGTCTGCGTGGATTGGCAACGAGTTTGGTAAGCACGAAGGTGGTCAATCATGAGGGATGCGCGAGCCTGATGTCGGATGTCGGAGAATAATTGGTCCGATTGCCCCTGAATATCCCCTTTCACTTTCCATTCACCCTCCTGGAGGGCTCGTTAACCAGCTTCGTCCTCACATTCTACATACATAATTCATATTGGAACTCTTGGGTTACGAAAGTGGAAATTAATAGTAGAGTCATTGTCTCCTATCTCGGTAGCCAGCAGACGCCTCATGACCAAGACTACAATCTACGTGAGGCTACTCAACTAAGCTTGGTTTTCGACTAGCAATTGTGTAATTGAGCGGTACTCCGTATGCTAGACCATTTTGATCGCCTGCGGGCCCGGAACACATATGACGCCTCAGCAATCGTTTAATCTATCCAAGCCGTCGTTTCTTGGAGTTCTTGAGATCGAGTCCGCCAGAATTCCGTTCACTGGTAGGAGCCCGTTTTCGACCCTTGGTTGCAATCATCGGTCTTGCTGTCGGCACTTGGGGCAAGGGGAGTCCGAGGTTGCAGACAAAAGGCACGCCATCGACATAACTGTTCTCTGCAGTAGGACTGGAGCCATACAGCTGACGCTGAAGGAGGTCGCAGAAGTGGTTGAAGGTTCCAAATTCGTAAGTGTTGGCCGACAAGAAAAGCTTATGCTTCTTGCCCCAGTGCATCCACTCTGTGCCGTCTCCGCGGATAACAGTCTTGGTCTTCAGAGAGCCCACGTCTGGCCCGGTGGGACCTCTCTCCCAGCCAACCCCCTGTTTGGTAAGGAATTGCTGCACGTACCTATTCAAAGTCGCTAGTGTGGTCGATACCTCCGGTACAGCAGCTTCGGAGATGGAAGTACCCTGGACGTCAATACCGCGTCTGGAAAATGCGACGACTTCTGGAAAAAAGTCGAAACCAAACGGATAGTGAATCATAGCCGCAGCATATTCTTTAAGCTCGTAAAAGCCCAGATTCACGATGACCTCCAGGGTTGACAGTGAGATGCTGTCACGAGGATGGGAGACAAGGAAGCCTCCAAGCTGGCCCAAGAAGAATTTAGTTTTTTGGTTCCGTTCCGAGGCCAAATCAACATTGACATGTATCTGCAGTAGTCGCAAACTCTTGAACACCTTGGAGAAGCAGCCAAACGCGATATTGCCAGGAAGAGTATTCTTCGGAACCTTGACAATGCGGCGGCTGGCAGGATCAATCATGGCCGCACCAGGCCGAAGTGATGCCTGATCTTTCGGTAAGACGGAGAATGTTTGCAGAGGAGAGGCGTCACGAAGACCTTCAAAAGTGATTCCGCTGTTACTGATCGTCAGGGTGAAGGTCCGTCGCGCGTACAGTGTCCTGGCATGGCTGCTGAATCGTTGGCAGGTGGCTGCAAATTTGGCAAGGCTATTTTTGGATTTGGTCCTCGCTCTGCTTGGCTGTGTGAGGACTCCGAAATACATCGCATCAGTACCAGCAGGAACCACAGTTCCAAACCAATCAAGCCATCTGAACACGCCGGTGCACCGATCGATTCCCGCAATGAAGCCGAAACTGTCCCACCCCTCGATTTTCAGCGCACTTCTTATGCTCTTGATTTCGGAACGTCTGAATGGCTTCAGCTGCGACTGGGCAACAACGAGGTACTCGCAGATTCGATCAATCACTTCGTTCGGCAAATCTGTGAGTTGTGTGGGACGATCAGCTTGAAAGTTAGGCCTATTGGCATCCATCTTTTGCGTATAAATGACAGGGTTCTGGAGTTGTGAGAGTGTCCGGAGCAAAGGCCGGCGATTGTGAGAGACTGAAGTGGTTGTGAGTGACCTGTAAAAGCTGGGGTTGTGAGACTACAAGTGTTCTCAGTGGCCCGGCTGATGATTTTCCGACGCTGCTGCAGTCGAGGTCGAGGCTCCAGGAGAAGCGGAGAACATGTAAACATCCGTCTCGAGGGACAAAGTCAGGCACGGACAAAGTAGAGGCATGGACAAAGTGAAGCACGGACAAAGCAGAGGCATGGATAATGTCACGGATAATGGCAGAGGCACTCACAAAGGCAGAGGCAATAACCTGCAGAGAAGAGAAGGTGAGGCATCAAGAGAGTCAGCACAGGCACCAGGGCCCAAATATCGAAGTGACAATATACCTAGGTGGGCGCTCTTCACCTCTGAATTACCAGAATATTGTTCATCAGGCGCATCATGGTGTTATCCAGATATTTGCATTGGTTGCATCAACGGTGGTGCACTTGCAAGTCGCGGGCTCACAGTCGATGGCCTCGTTGTCGTTGTCGTCCCTTGATCCAAAGCCATTTGGCATTTTAATAGCCAGCTAAACGAACAAGGAGAAGCGCCACAATAAGAGCTAAGAGGGCTGCATTGCTTTCAAACAAACAAGGAAGAAGAGTGTCACAATAACAGCCAAAAGAGTTGTAATGCGTTCATTTCATTGTTGCGAACAAGTCCAAAGGAAGTAAAGAGAGAAGAACTAAAGAGAGAAAGAAGAGGGAGGGATCGAGAGTTATGAAGGACTCGAAGAATGGCAAGTGCCACCAGTCCCAGTCGGGCCTAGTGCCGTCACGGGATATGCCTCTATCCGGAGTGAAGCGGCAGAAATACTCAAGTGTGCGTGTTTGAACGCGGTAATCCAATAATGTAGCGTAGCACCTGCAGAAGTAGTAGGAACTCAATATCCCTCTCGGGAGATAAACAACTTTGGTTTCGACGTGAGGGTATCTGTACTACAGCAAATCCACATAATAGACGTCTGCACATGTGAGTGTGTATTTTACAGGAGCCGAGCTCCTCGGGTCTCCCAGTGACCAGCCGCTGAACCGAGAAGACAAGTGAGCGGCTTGTCATGGTTCGATCCTGCCCCAAGGTAAGCCCATTCTCGAGGCTATTCATACAGTCGTTAAGAGTCCGTGATTATGCTTCTCCTCCCAATCAGCTCGTGTATTCAGTAGATCGAGTCTGAAAGCCCAGGTGCCGAGGAGGCGCGCCCTGGATCGTGACACTGATCCGGCTTCTTTCATGTCCATCGATCTCCAGCGGAGATCGCGGTTGGGGCGGGTGGTGGATCTCAATCACCTGGCTCCTGGGGACCTCTCCGGCGTCCGTGGTACTTTCATGGAAGCCTTTCGCGTCCAATTCATACCTCGGCGGAGGATCGCGGTTCTGTCCTCCAGTGAACTCGGCAAACCTGCGTCGGCGTCTGGTCCGCATGTACAACGCAACGACAAGTGCACCGCCAAGGATGGTTGCGCCAATGGCAATGCCGATACCCGCGGCTGCAGCTGTGCTCAGACCTCCAGAGGCACCGCCGTGGTTCGATGTGGGAGTTGATAGAGGTTGTTGGCCTGTTGTATTGGGACTCAGAGGGCTAAACACCTGGGTTAGTCACCGGCATCCGGCTGTGCAGCCCTCCACTTACCTGTCAAGTATCTGTAACACTCCATTCGAGGTCAGGTAGTCTTTCGTCGTAATGAGTGATGCGTCGACGTAAAATTGCCCGTCTTGCTCGGTCATCGTGGCGGATATGCCGTCTAACGTTGGGATCTGGGTGTTGCTTTGGAAGGTCGAAGAGTAACGGACCGGTCCTTGAGATATGCTGTATTGCAAGATAGACAGAAGATCCGTGCTCGAGAGTCCCTCCCATCCTGTAAAGCTGGCGGAGAACCGCGATGAATTCGGACCGAAAATTGTCAAATCTGCCAGCGAATTCACTATTGTTGCGGCCGGAGAGCTTGGCGTTAGAAATCCACCCTTGTTGAGTAGCGCGACAAGGTCTGTCAATCCGGCTTTGGTGATGGTTGCAGGAAAGGAGATTGGAATCGTCAGAACCGAGTCTATGATGTGAATCAGACCACCAAGGTAGAAGATGTCCTATCTTCTATCAGTCTCACGAGTGACATGTGCGAGCTGCGCCGTCACTCACGGCTTCGACCACGTGTGATACAGCTTTCACTCCGCTTACCACCGCTGAGCGGTTATCCAACGACGTGATTTCTACTACTTGGCCGCCCGTGACATTGGTATAGTCGGGGTTCGTCAATAGTGTTGGTACGAACAGTGGCTGTAGGCCGAACGTGGCCGACGGGTGTGTTCCATTCGCAATGTGATATTCCAGCAGGGCTCGCAGTGCGTCCGTGTCGTTGCTCAAGTCTGGGTTCTCATTGGCAAAGGCAGCGAGAGCTTGGTCGTTGGGAATGAGGACTGGCTTGGATATCAGCTCAGTTGTTGGGCGGAACATGGATCAACACACCGCTGAAGGTTCCTCGGTTCAGGATGTCAACCAGGTCATCGAACTGCTCCAGTAGCGCAATAAATGTTGAAATGTCATTCTGCTGCTTCAAGATGGTGAGGATGTCTTGGTCCGCGGCAAGGCAACACGCAATAACGCCCAAGGTGGCAAATATTGTGCTATAGAGCTTCATTGTGTATACCTGCGGAGCATCAGAAAACCAACAAGCATGACTGTACATTCGCTGATGGATATATCGAGCAGTGGGCACGAATAAGAACGAGACCCTTTGTTATCTGATGGGGAATGACCGGAAGACGTGTCCCACGCATCCAGGAGGGGATCCATCCCGGTTCATGTTGCTGGTGAGACTCTTGGGGCGCCTTCTTCAGGAGGCACTCGCGGCACTTTGAGGACCAGAACGCTGCAGGAATGGTCCTAAAACAGGAAGATGTCAAGATACGGACAGGGATGCGCTCTTCGGTTCCAACGTCGAACAAGTGGGCGAAGAAGAGGTTCCTGTCCGGGCATGAGGTTTCCGTCGCCAGGGATATGCAGGAGGAATGGGGCGACTGAGCAGGGCTTGAAGACTTTCCATACGCAAAAGCCGGAGAACAGGGCCCAGAGTGACGCAAACGAAGGTGATGAGACGCCAACAGGGTTGCCGGTTCCTGTCCAAGACGAAATCCCCGCTGCAGGTGTTGCCCCTAGCGGCGTTTCAGATGCTCGCTGAACGGGGACAGCGGCTTTGCTGCAAGGGACACGCGCGAACGGACTGGAGGACATGAGCGCCGTTAAGCTCGGTGGCGTTCATTCTCGCCGTCGACGCTTAACGGCACGGGCAACAAGCAGGCAACGTCGCTGAAGCCAAGGAAGTTTATCAGGGACGCAACGAGGGCTGCCAAGCTTCAAATCGCCTAGACATAGACACGTCCACGCACACCCAATGCGTGCTATCATTCTCGGAGACGGACGAACGCAAGGGAAGCAGTGCGGGCTAGCAGATAAGCTGGGGAAAACATCTTAAACCATCGAAGTGCAAGAAGGGGGGGACTTGGCATTCACGCAGGGACACTGTAATTAAGGAATTTCCGAACACAAAGACTTCGTTCCTTCAATTCTTAGCGAGGAGTTGCAATCTCTCGATCAAGAGGCTTCTACTACAGCGGATGCTCTCACCCCTGATAAAGTATGTGCTGTTGATTTTGCTACCGTCTAGGCAGTATTCATGTCTACTGGCGCTATGCCACCGATGTGTTAAGAGGTCAAAACACCAACGCCGGCAGTGTCGACCATCCAGCATCGAAGCCGCAACTTTGCAGAGCACTGCTTCAGTCCCGTGCCCTCGGTCAGCTTGATGCTGTGTAGTCCTGGTAGCGTCCCACACGATCGCCACGGACTCATGGAACTTGATCCTATGCAAGGATCCTTGGCATGAAAATCATCAGTACAAGCAGACCTTCAGCCTTGTCAGCCTCCGGTCATTGGCAAGGAGTATTCCCTCTTGGAGATACAACTCCTTTCAGGCTCCCTCCGAGCGTGTCTACTGGAGATCACCAGCACGTTGGTCTCGAGACGTGCAACCTCAATTAATCATGTTCTTGGGGGCGGCTGCTCCTTCGTTCCGCAGACCAGTTGACGCCAGCCATATGGAGGATCATCGCCGTCGATACCGAGTAGGAGTACAGTGTAAAGGACACGCTTCCGCACACATTCCAAAGGGACTATAGTAAATCGCTATGCGACCGATTGGCACACGCCCCCAAAGTACCTACAGTAGGTATACAGCACCAACGTCCTCCGTACCGGCGAGGACTCCTCTTACGGTCTTGACTGCTTCCGGCCTCGTCCTGCGTTCCGCTGCTCTCGAGTCTCAGCATACCAGTGCGCAGAGTAACAGCCCACAGCACAGGGTAACCTGATGGCTCGGACGACGTTATGCCGACATATTTACTCTTCGACATCCTCGTGATGCCACAATTGGCAAAAGATGCCAGTGCTGACTCTTGACCTGATCGACGGTAGGATGTGATGGTGCGTGACACTTTCAATCATTGTCTCTAACATCATCTGCTATCACAAACGAGCCACGAGAAGCCTGAGGGGTACAAGCTCTTCTCGAGAACCCTATTTCGTATCCCCCCAAGATCTCCAGATCCCATGTCCGTTAAAGCACGATGCACGACACTTAGAACGTTTCTATTCCCCAGGTTAGTAGTTGTGATATCTTGGTCATCCACGCGAGTAAGAGGCGAGGAACCTGCCCAAGCGACGAGGACGGAGGCAGGGAGGCCAGACCACCGAACAACAAAACATCACCATCGGCATCAATTCTTATTCAACTCAGGAAAACAAACCCATTGCAACGCGTCGCTTAGACGCCGAAGTCATTTGCCAATGTCAACGTCAATGCCAATGCCAATACGAACGCGACTGCTCGTGATATAATATGTATACCTGGTACGCTCCCACTCCACTCATGCTTCTAATGCTCGCTCGCCCATGCTCAAGCAGACCTCGTTCACACCGACGTAAGCATATGCGTGATCCTTCTCGAACACATGCAAGGTATGGGTGCATCAAGCATGTACACCAGACGCGCACATCCACGTCGTCCGATGGACTACCGCTTCGCCCTCCACTCGTGACTTTCATTCGTACCGACCCACGGTTCATGCACTGATACTGTACTACCGCCCAACAACGGCCTTCAAGCTCAACCCTTCCAAAAACCCAGCTAGATCCTCCTTCTTGACTTCGACGATACAGTGATCGAAACTATCGATCCTGACCCTGGCGTTCGTCTCCTCCACAACCTCCTGGAACGCAATGCCAAAGCGATTGTGGCCGTATCCTCGCTTGCGTCTCTTTTCCAGCTCCGCTTCATCGATCTCCTCATCCTCAGACTCGGACTCGGGTTCTGATTCAGATTCCGTGTCCTCGTCTTCGGCTTCGGCGTCAGAGTCCTCGCCAAGTAACTCTCGTTGAGCTTTGCGGGCGGCCCGTTTTTCCTCTCTCACCTTCCTCTTCTTTTCTCTCTCTTCCTCCCGTCTTTTCCGCTTCTCTTCCCGCTCCTTTCGCCCTTCGATGTCCTCCCCTCCACCAATGCCCCCTCCCGTGCCCACAACCACATACGTGCCTCTTTGTTCATCCAACGCCGCAAGCACCAACGGCGTCGGTAATGATCCATCTCCACCACCCGATTTTTCTCTCTCCTGCACCGCGATCGCCTCGCCCACCCAAAGCGCCAACTTGACCAATGCACCGGGACTCCCCGCGAACAGCGGTAGATCGGGTCCCTCTTTGACCACGCCCATTCTGAACGCACGAAGATGGCGGATCTGATGCTTTTGTAATAGAGAGGAGCCAGTTCGCAGGATCGAGCGAAGGAGGTGTTGTGCGGCGGAGATCGCGTCGAGGAGTTTGCTGGGGGAAGTGGGATTGAGGGCATCATACGCGGCAAAGAAGCGTGGGAGAAGAAGCGTGGAACGGTCGGGAACGTCTTCCTGGGTGGAGAGTTGGGACGCTTGCGAGTACGACGCAGCGTTGGACGAGGCTGATGGCGTTGCAGTTGGGCCGACGTCCAGAATTGCACCCACTATAACTCCTACATCCACGGCTGAGAGTTGAGCCTTCCAGCCCCACGAGCGGATGAAGCCCCAGCCTTCTTGCTCGTAGGAAGCTCTCCCGGTGCCGGACGGTACGAGGTCGTCCAGACCATAAACGCCTGCGTACTTTAAAAGGCGGTCGCGAAGTGTCTTCTTCAACTCCATGTCCATGTGAGTATACGTTTGCTTGCATTGCGTCAATGACACACCCATCTTGGCGAGAAGCTTGTGGAGTCGTTTGGTGCCTGATTCGTTCCACACGTGCAGGCGCGCAGCGAGGTAAGGGGAATGCAGCATGCTATCATATAGAGACCAATGTCTCAGCAGGAGGAAGCGCGGATCGGGCGTCAATCGGATGGATGTGTCGCTGGGTGAGCTTGTGCCTGTGGCGGGGGATATCGTGGGCGACTGGTCTGCGGGTGGGGGATTCAGACGTCTTACTTCGTCCCGGAGGAGAGCATAGGTTTGGGATGAGCGCGTCATGCGCCAGCCGCGGTGTTGCTCGGTGGTCAAGGCTGTGCTTCGTGATACGGAGGTGCCCAAACCTGTCGACGTATGGCCCGAGAGTTCGAGCGATGTCACCCCAATGATTGCCAGCCAGAGGATGTCGTTGTCTTCGCGACCAAGATCCGTGGCGAGAGAGTACGCCAAGGTCGAGACCGGCTCGGAGTAGGATGTACCTAGACTGTTGTATTGTCGGAGGACCGATTCATGCTCTTCTCGCAACCTTCGTAGTCGCTGCCGAAGTTGTTTAGCTGTTTGGTGTTTCGGAGATTGTGGTTTCGAGGATGGGGAAGTCGGTTGGGAGGAGGATGGTGTCTTGCTTCTGCTTCTGCTTCGGGAGGTCGCAATTGAGGAGCCGGAGTTGCTTCTTCGCCTTTGACGGGGGCGTTCTTCGTCTTCTTCGGTGTCTTCGTTTTCGTCGTCTCCGTCTCGATCGGACCACGATTTTCGCTTCTTAGATTGTGAGCTATGTTCTGTGTCTTGTCCGTCGTCATCCAGGTCTTCTTCATCGCTCGCTTCGCCGTGCACTTCAGGCATCTCTGCCAATGCACAATACGCGTCTCTTTCGGTGTTGAGGTCACTGGCAATATCGCCATCATCAAAGACTATTATGCCTCCCTTGCCGGATTTATATGATTTCTGAAGACACCCCTTCTCCACGCCACGAGCACGCGGTCTCGAGCCGTTGACCACGTCTTCCAAAGGCGCTTCGATGGGCATACCGCCAAACACATTGTCCAGGTTATACGGTCTCCTCGCGTCAAGAACCCATACTTCGACACCGCACATTGTTTCGTTTAGATCTTCATCTTCCAGGCCCAGAACGGTGCCCAGATCCACCAGTCCGCCGACACCCAGGCATATAACCAGTCCGCCACTACCCCCTTCAGTGGTCTTCATGGGCCGGACAAGGGTTTCGCCGGCTTTGGCCAGGTCTGCATAGCCAGATACGGGCTGGATCTTGTGTTGAATGAAGTCGCGACGTAGAAGGGCGGTAATGATGCGGCACGCGCATAACGAGTCGGGCTCGAGAGCGACAAGCAGCAGGACTGCAGGTGAGTGCGCGTGATGTGAGCGAACGAGGTTCGTGTAGAGATGTGAGATCAGGTCTCGTGGGAGGTACATGCTGGATGGATTGAGGTTGCGAACGGTAGCAGTAAAGGTGTGGTTCTATTCGAGTTCATGGCAATCGTGGGGGAGCAGGGTATGGGTGAGATGCTGCCCGACTTGGGCCGGTGAGAAGTTTGTGTGGATTTGGATTGTCGAGCTCATTGCTAGACATTTGCTGAAGGCAGCGACAGGTACGAGCTACGAAGCAACCCGCGAAGCCAGTCGCGTTACGGGACGCGTTGTTGCCAAATACGTCATACGTCATCCGCTCTAGGTTCTAGCCGCATGCCAGACCCACCATGGGCCTACACAATAGATCTCATTGAGGCCGACAAAGGTCTAAACATCCAAGTTACCCGCGCCTGAAAACTGAGGAAATAACTGTAAGTAGTGCTCAACAACAGGCTCAAGAGCTACGATAGAACAACACAAAGTATCACCCCGTACGCCGTTCACTGCGATTGCCCCAAATCTGACCGAAGCAGGATCTCCTCCACTACCACCTGCGATATGCCGTGATGTCCCAGCCCAGTTGGATGAAATACCCTCCACTTCCTCATCTCCGGCCACTCAGGGACAGTCTCTGGATCAGGCATCTCCATTTCGCCCAGAAGCTGTTGAGGTGGTCCACTTTGCGACCTAGACAAGACAACAGGTGGTGGAGGGATGTTAAAGAACCATGTATCAGCCCTACCCAGATCTGGCTCCTTGACGCCTGGTTCACAGAATCGGTGTCCCTCGAAAGCGTGATCAATGTCGACATACACGGCGCCATGGAGCAATGCCGTCGCCTTGATCACATCGTTCAGCATCATCACTAGCTGATTGAGATGCCTCCGCTTCGCCTTTGTCAGGTAGTCCAGTGGCCTGGTCTGGCTGAAGGTGGTGTTATCACAGTAGTCGGTCCTCTCATTAAAGAACCTTGCATACCCTGTGACAATGAACAGGGCTCCCGGTTTCAAATGCTGAACAGCCCCAGAGATGATATTTTCGAGATTCTGCAGTGCACTGGTCTCAATGATCTCTCTGGCTTTGACAATTTGAGCTTCACAGCCTATTGCCGGTGACCAATGATAGACGCATTCGTTCAGGACCACGAAGAAGTTGACATCGTTGCCGCTGGCCGTCAACGTCACCAGTTCCGAGTCGCCAATGTAAGGGACCTGATCTAGCAGGATGACAGCGCTGGTCAAACCTCCGCAGGCAAGGTGCTTGAATTTGGTTCTTTCGATGTTGATCAAGGAGTTGTTGGCTACTTGTATCGGATATGCATCAGAGTATCGTCCACAACGGAAATCGGCATAAGGTGGCCATCCTGGGATACCTGCTCCAGCCCCAGAAGCGTAGGAGTCTCCTATCGCTGCATAGGATTGAGGCAAGGCATGCTTCTTAAGATTATGAGCTGGGATCGCGGACCCGCCCGGACATAGTAGGGAGAGCACAAGACCGAGAATGATGGCAGCTGCCATGAAGAACAAATCAAAACCGGGATATAAACAAGACGCCCTCGGCGCGTGCGATTACACGCATCACTCAAAACTGCTGATGTCGGAAGGCAGCAGCAGAGAATGGTGAAGTCGCATAAGATGGAGATAGACACTACTCCGTATGGCTGCCTGCCTGCCCTATCCCAGCAGCACATTCCCCGAACACGGCCTCTCATTGGTCACTCCGAGGTGAATGCATAAGGCGGCTTGGGGTAAAATGGTCCGCAGTAATCTCTGCGTTGTCCTTCATTTTCGTCCACAGTAGCGCTGACCGTGACGCCATGACTTGTGGGCGCCTCTCGTGCCTCATCTCCTTCTCATGGACCTATCATGTATCATTCGTGTCCCTCACTTCTCTCAAGTAGACACCACGCTGCAGTATCACATCTTTGAATGCGCTTTGGTTCCACGCTTCTTGGTGCTTCATTCCCGAGGACGGCTCGCACCTGCTCTAGAAATCTTCAGTTGCTACGTTCGCAACGCTCCAGTTTTCTGAGAAGCAAAGCTCCTACTGCCTCACGATTGCATGGCTCGCGAGGTATGAAGAAAACCGCCACTTCCAAACCTCGCCCGAAAGTCCCAGACTACTGTGATGTCGAGCCACGACACAATGACCGCGGGGAACCAATCTGGCCTGCTCCAGAGGACGCTATGGAGCAGGCAAGGGCATTCATAAAAGAATGGTATTCTTGACCGATGCCAATGACCCTTTTTCTGACACCCCAATGCTAACCTTGATAGTGCAGGGAGCGGAAAGACGACTCTTATAGTGCCAGACACAGATGCTGATGGCCTCTCGTCCGGAGTCATATTGTATCGCACGCTGACGGCGCTCGGTCTCGATCCGATTCTGATCGGGGTGCATCTGGTCCAGAAGGGCTCTACAATCCATGCGCAGCCGGAACGTGAAGCCATGGCGGCTAAGGACCCAGCCTATATCATCGTCCTCGACCAAGGGTCCATAGCAGCTCCGCCAGTTGTCGATTTGCCATCAACGAAGTCCTTGATCATCGATCACCATTTGAGCGATCACTTCCCAAAAGATGCCCAAGTGGTGTCAGCATGTCATTACCCGCCTGTATCAACGTCTTCTCTGCTCACATATGAGATCTGCAAACCACTTGCTCCCGCAATTGCCTCAGAATGCGCCTACCTTGCGTGCATTGGCACTCACGGTGACTTGGGAAACACATTGAAGTGGTCACCACCATTCCCTGACATGAAGGAAACCTTCAAAATCTACACCAAGAAGTCGGTCAATGATGCGGTATCACTCGTCAACGCACCTCGGCGCACTGCCAAGTACGATGTGATAACCGCATGGACAGCTCTTCTCGCCTCGAGAGATCCAAAGGACCTCCTAAGTAATGGCCGACTTCAGAGTGCCCGCGCAGAGATCAACGCTGAGGTGGAGATGAATACACATACTCCTCCGAAATTCAGTGCGGATGGACGAATTGCTGTCCTGAGAATCAACACGCCTGCTCAAGTCCACCCTGTCATTGCTACCCGCTGGGCCGGATATCTCAATTCAAGGGCGCTGGAAATCGTGCTATGTGCGAACTCAGGCTATCTTCCTGGCATGGTGAATTTCTCTTGTCGTATTGCCCGCTGTGCCAGGTCAAGGGATCCTCCAGTTAATATCATCGAGAGCTTGAAAGCTGCTGCGGATCTATCCACTGATGGTCTGAAAGACCGACTCGGACAGAGCTTCGCCAGGGGTCATAAAGAAGCCAGCGGTGGCATCGTCCCTGTTGAAGCCTTTGAGGAGTTGATGTCCTTGTTGAAAATTGGGGAGAAGCCTGAAAAGAAGAACGAGTCAGAAGAGCCGAAGCAGAAGAAGGCAAAAACCCTTGAAAAGAGTCCGCAGAAGAACACACTCGCCAACTACTTCCGCAAGCCTTAGCCTCATACACACCACTTCATCAGCGAGGTTCGTTGTCGCCATTGTCATCGGGGTTTAGAATCAGGTATTCGCCACGCAACTCGCGCAATACAGTGGTCAAACTCTCTACACGGCGGGACCATCTGCGCAGCGAAGGAACCGTCTGCGAGTGCTTTTGACGCGTAGTGGAGGGTATGTACCAAGCCAATGGGAAAGCGAAAGATATGTATCTGCGCAGAGCGGGATGCCATCAGCATGCAATTTCCGCTTCGGGTTGCGATGCCTTGCTTTTCGTCCCGAGAAACACAGGATATCTGACGGTCATTGGATGAATGGTGGATTCGCTGCACGCAAGCATGTCATGAGGTCCCCAAGAGCGACCGTAGCTGGAATCTACCCATGGAGAAGGGATTCAAAGAAGTGAATTCACAGGGGATAGAAGGTCAGAGTCCCTTGCCAATAAGCCGCAGAAACTAACTACAGTGCAGCAGGGAGGTTTAAGCCGGAATTGCGCGATACTACTGTGGTGATCGTGCATTCATGCCCTCCCAAGCCGCGTGCCTGATGTTGTTCAGTTGGGAGAAACTATTGCCTGTGATACATCGATGCACACGTGTGTCTGAGTAGGGCAAACTCCAGTCCCTCGTATAGCACATTTAAATATCGGTTGGCTATTTGAAGTCTTCAATACTTTCAAAGGCAATGCTGGAGAATCTTAAACCTTCTTCGAAGATTCACACAGGAAGCCGCAACTCCAGTCTCAGCTACCACGTCGGTGACCATGCTTCCACCTGCAACAGCCCACGGGACGATCGCTCCAGGCCCCGTCAAGACGCTGAGTACTCCCAGACCAACCATGCATGTGAGGTGCCTTTTCAGGCGGAACCAGTCGCGAGCGTTGTGGAGCTCGGTGAGCAGTCTGTTTGCTCTGCTCATCCCTGCTGCCCCTGAGGTTCTGTCCAGGATGACAAGAGCAAGGCAGATGGCGAAGTACTGGTTGTTCCAGAGAAAGACATGGTCTTTTCCCCACAGACTGTTCAGAATTTCAACTGTTGCTAATATCAGCAAGCCCTGTGATGTGCCGATACAGCATCGTCACGCACCTCTCGCCTGGATCGCGCGGTCGCACAGGGTGGTGACCCCCATTGCTTGTCTGGCTTCCGATACGAATCTACCAGACACGGCTTCATCACGAGGAAAGGAGAAGTATTGTGCAGCACGTCCATCTCTGGCATCCGCATTGTCTTTTTCGCACACTTTAACCACCCAGCTCGAACCAAGGCGAACATTATTGGCTAGAGGTCCGTCACACTCGGCAGCTCCGAAGAAACTGCTCCAAAGATCGGAGGCGCGAACCGAGACGATGGAGACAGTTCTAGATCTGTCCCGTGCTGCCTAAGGCGTTAGCTGATATCTTTCCTGGGTTCAGGATCCCCGATGGCGGAGGCAAAACCGCATTGTCGAGGCTGCTACACTCACGGCATTGAACAGGCCACCGTAGTCCCGTCATTCGAGACTGCGTTGACCACCTTCGTCTGTGAGAAACGGTTCGAAGGCATTGTTCTCTGTATTCGTCAAGGTTCGATCAGGCCAATTGCGTGAAGAGACGACCAAATGAACTCGGGCTTCGCACTCAGTGACATCGAGGCACCCCAGAGTCCATTAAACTGGACTGACTGCCAGAAGAGCGAGAAGGACTCCAGAACAGCCACAGCGGAAGAAAACGGTACTTTGACCGCCTCTTCTCTCGTTTCAGTCGCCCTTCAAACACTTCAACCGAGTGCTCACTTGGGGAGGGGTGTTATTGGACGAGAACAACCCCATGTTCACAATTCAATGGTGCTGCCTGGACTGCACGCAAGGATCGCGAGCCTACCCCCGGATATTGGACGCCGAGCTTAGGCATGTTGCTTGCTTAAGCGCATGTTTGCCTTACTCGGCTCTCCGCTCTCATCGGCCGGCTGCCCACGCGCTTGCCAGTCCTTTGAGCCTCCCCTGCCCGACGCTTGAGATTGGATTGGAAGATACGGTCCATTGTTCTAACCGGTGTGGCGATCGAGACGTGACATGCGCGGCGCGGGCGATTCCATCGTGGATGGCGACTGCTGCCTCTATGAAGAGATTGGACAACTTGCGGAATACTTGAGAGGCCATATGATCAGAGGTCCGAATTGGCTGTCTTGCTTGTTTACAGTGGAGAGAAGCATTGTCGCCGCGGTATATGCACGCAGCTACGGCTCCTGGGTTCCAGCATGATCCCAATGCATCAATACGGTTACCTATCATACCCTGCCAGGGCATGTGGATTGCCTCCTGATCGCCTCTCAACCACCTCTCGAAGTGGCCTGGGAAACACCAGGCAATGATGGGCACACGCAAGGCCGGCCTTTTGCTATAGATTAAGCCAGTCCTGTGATGATGGTGGTGGTAAGACGTGCTCTCAGCGGTCGCAGAGGCGTCTGAGGCGGCGTTCCGAATTAGCGATTTCAAGACTGTCGAATCTCACAATCTCGACGAGATCTTGAGGGGTGAGTGAAGCTGGAACCTGCATACCGACTAACGCCACCAAATGAAGAAATGACCAAGGGACCGGAGCATCACTTAAAAGCCTTCCCCTCCTGCCGATTCTAATGTGGTGGTGCGGCTGTCCCAGGGCGGGAGACAAGGCTCTATCGATAATTAGCTACAGTATTACCTCGAAATCGAGTCGACGCATAAAGACCAAGAAGAGATACTGTAGCCAGGCTTAATTGACAAGCTCTTCTACCCGCGAGGCCGGGCAAGATGCTTTACAGGCCAAAAATGACAGTCACGAAACCGATTTTCGTCCAGCATCTGTCCGTTGATCCCGGATCCTGGATCCAGGGCCCCCAGAAGAAAAGCGGCCGAGCATGGTTCGCGGGCCGTCCAAAATATTGATAGACACTCAAGGCCCTTCACACTCTGTCTGCGCAGTGCATGCAGTGCAGTGCAGGATTGCACCGCACCCGTCTTCTACATACCCCCAGTCACCCTGTATCTAACGGTGCTTGCCCGGATTATCGTGCGTGAGTGTGACGCTTCCCCCGACAAAAGAGCAAGACTGTACTCTGTGGCTGCTGCCACCTAATTGTAATTAACCGACCAGCTGATCGGCCGTACTGATGAAATCCAACAGAGCGAACAGGGACACCGTCTCGACTCGACAATCTTGGTCCTGGTCACTGTTGCCGTCTCGGAACCCCTTTTCCAGCCAACTTCGGACGGTGTCATCATCTGTACCTCTCACGTTCTGTTGTGCAATTAAAAGGGACGCAAGCCGACAGGGGACTGTGGATTCACCCTGCCGGCCGGGGTATGTATTACATGACGCCACAGAGGCTAAAGGGCCCTGGGGCTCGGTCTCGGTCTCGGTCTCGGATGGAATGGCGTCGTCCTTGTTGGCGCTAGAACTCTGTGTACATCCCTCTGCCGTCGGTGTATCCCGTTGTGAATGTGAAGGGCCGAAAGCGTCCTGAGAATGTGAGTGCACCAGGTGCACAGAGCCCAGGGTTGTAAAAAGTGGCCGTGTTGGATGTCCTCGCGGCGCTGGCGACATGATTGTGGTACTGGTACGAGTCAACGATCCGTCAACGGTCGTAGAGTTCATCATCATCACCATCTCCTGGGATAGGCGAGACTCCGAGTCGGTAATTGTAGCTGGAGCTGGGTGTGACGTCTTTGGTCCTTCTTCGCCGACTTCCCTCAGTCGCTCGTGTGCCTCCGCTGGCGCCATCGACTGTCGAGTGGCAAGTAAGTCATGCACATCTCTCGGGTTCTTAGCAGTCGCCTGGCACCTCCAGTACCGCGAGGCGGCTTCTAGCTCCGTGATCTTGGCTCTCGCTTCGTTGAGGAGACACTCGCCATGGTGGACCTGCTGCTCGAGGAAGGCGATGTATTGGCGTCGGCGCTCTCGGTGACGGCGCTGGTTGTTCCGTACCCGTATCAGTGTATGCGTGGGTGTTTTGTTTTGCGTGCGCGTCGCCATCGTGCGATCCATACTGAGAGGTGAAAAAAAGCAAATGGATCACGGATGTTGAAGGAGAGAAGTTGGGAATCTTCGAACACTAAAGAGGCGAGTCTTCGAAACAATGAATTGTAGACGGTACATGAGCAGCGACATCGCCAAGACGGTGACATATCGGTCTGCATGACTTAATTACTAGTATCAGTTACTCGTGTGCTGGAAACTGTAAACGGGATAGCCTGTTGCGCATCGTGGCCACGCCTTGTGAACAGACATCCTAACTATCCGAGAGTTATGAAGGCGGTAAGAAATCATGTCTGGTACAACGAGACGGCTACGTGCATCTATGTTGGGACTTTCGAGTTCCTAATCCGTTGATCCTTGTCTAGGTCGTCCAGGAAATGTTCAAAGGAACAGGGAACCAGCTCCTTGGTGTTTCCTTGCGGGAGCATCGGGCTCATCCCTTGACGGCGTAGATCTTGAAGGAACCTAGGTGAGCGTCAAGTGAATGCAACGTAAGCTGCGAGGAACATCATCCCACGTACCCGCGAGTTCGTTGAAATCAAGCTGGTTGAGGTCGCTTCGCTTGGCTTTGGAGGTACAACCTGCGTCCCAACTATTCCAGCAAGAGGACGTTTGGCAGCAGGGGCTGGCCGCGTCTGTATCACTGCATTGGCTCAGAGGTTGCGCGACCTTCCGCTTGTAGACGTTCAGGTCGTTGTTGGCGTCGACGATTAGGATTTCTTTCGCAGAGTAGTCCAATGTGAGAAGAGTAGCCCATCGCAAACGGAGTCGATGTTCACGGACGATTGGTGGGCATACGAAATCACTCACCGTCAAATCCTGCCTTACGGAGATATACTTCGTAGTCTTTGACTTGACTCGCACCCGCGATGCATCCCACGTAGAGGACCATGTCGCGTTTCAGCTCTGGTGAAAGATCCTTCCTTGCCAGCATATCGCTGATTGCCACGCGCCCGCCAGGCTTGAGCAACCGGTACATCTCGTTGAACACCAATTGCTTTTGCCCCTCGGGGACAAGGTTCACGACACAGTTGCTGATGATGCAGTCGGCTATAGCGTCTGGCAATCTCACTTCCGTGATGCGGGATTCGACGAACGAGACATTTTCGAACCCGGACTTTTCCTTGTTCCGCTCGGCTCGGTCGAGCATATCCTGTGGTGTTACTTTAGAGACGAACTTCCCGCCACGGCGAGGAGGACAAAAGCAGAAATAAGATGTAATCACTTTACCTTGTTCATGTCGACTCCGATAGCTTTGCCTTGGGGCCCGACCTTTTTAGCCGCAAGAAAGATGTCAAACCCTGCACCGCTGCCGAGATCGACCACCGTCTCTGCCTACTCATCCGTCAGGTAAGTGATTCGGTGTTTCCCGGCACACATCATGCGGTCGGTCAGCGGGAACGTATGCCAATGTGACGGGGGGTACGAGACCTCTCTTAACTGGGCAAGCACCAAGGGGTTTCCACAGCTCAGACCAAGATTTGCGTCCTTAGGGATGCTTGCCAGCTGTTTCTCGCTGTATCCAAACGCTGTAGCGACCTTGTGCGCATGTTCACCGTTGTGATCTTTGACAGCAGCACTGTAGGATTCTTGGACCATCGCATAGATCTGGCTCTCGTCCAGGGGCACATCCGGACCGGAAGTCATGGAGAGAGAAAGGCCTGACGGCAAAGTGAGGATGAGACCACGGTGTATTTCTACTGCAAAGGCGAGGATGAAGAACAAGTTAGAACTTGGTGTAGAATTCGACGGCAGTCACTGCGGTGATAATTAATAGGTATCACTGATCATCATTGCCGTGATATGTCACCGCCAAGAGACGCAATCAATATGACCACGATTTAGCTGAGACTCCAGAGTGTCTTTCTCAGAGTCCCATCATTTGTGCTGTCGCCGACTGTCGATCTAGCAGATGGAGGGCGTCTTCTGTTCGATGTTTATCAAATTGGCTTGACCTGGATTCCCTCATAATTCAGTCGCCGCTCGCCCTTGAAAACGTCAAGTCTGACCTCGATCCCGTGTGGGCCACTGGCAACAACTTTTACGAGGTAAGGGCTTGTTGATCGACGTGGTGACATATCGATTCCTACGACATGCAGATCTGCGCCAAAGCACAACTCCCCGGGGTAATTGACGGTCAAGTGTCCGTGTACGAGTCCTGCCAGCCGACGAAGATCCCCCACAACACCCTCAGGCTGAGAGGAAAACGACCCCGCCTCATTTGGAAGACTCGCAATACTGTACTCACTTCTGCGGAGGACATACTGTACTCCGTATGTCTATATCAACCCTTCTGCCTCGACCGTGTACAGAACCGGCCAGACATCAGCAGAACGCGAGACAAGCGGTGCGAGGGCTTCGGCCTCACGGTTTCCACACTGGATGCTCGAGAAGACACAGACCGGGGCTGGCCCATCCTCTCAAACAGCACCAGGACCTGGAACTGGCAATGATGCGACGCCTCCACCCGATGGCGGCTATGGCTGGGTGTGTCTGGCCTGCTGTTTTACAGTCAACTGTTTCACTTGGGGTGTTGTATCCGTACGTGGCCATGCCTTCACCCGTGCCTTGCTCGCCCTGATCACTAGGCTCCAATCCGTCATGGTGGGCAGCTCACAGATACCTACAGTCTTACGGCGTCTATCTGTCGTACTACCTGACGCGCGACGCCTTTCCCGAGTCTCGACCTTTGGACTACGCCTTCATCGGCAGTCTGAACTTCGGGATTGCGATGCTCTCGGCTCCCCTGACCACGCGTTTGGCGCGCTCCTTCGGCATCAAGCCACCGATGCTAGCTGGGGCCATGATCTTTGGAGGAGGCTTCATCGCCGCGTCGTTCGCCTCGCGCATCTGGCATCTTTACCTCTCGCAAGGCGCGCTGGTCGGCCTGGGCGTCGGGCTGGTCTACGTGCCCAGCATTGCAGTTCTGTCACAGTGGTTCGGCAGAAGAAGAAGTCTTGCCAACGGCATCAGTGCCGCCGGGTCCGGGATCGGTGGCTTGGTCTTCTCCTTCACCAGTGGCGCCTTGATAGACCATCTCGGGATTGGATGGGCGCTGAGGATCACGGGAGCTATCGCGCTGCTGGCAAATCTCGTGGCCGCCGTCTTCATCCGCGACCGCAACAGTATCGTCCGACCTGAACAGCACCCGTTTGACGTGGGTCTCGCATGGCGCGCAGAGGTCCTGCTCCTTCTTTCTTGGGCCTTCCTCAGCATGCTCGGGTACATCCCGCTCCTTTACTCGCTCTCGGACTTCTCACTCTCGATCGGGCTGTCCCGACAACAGGCGACGCAGGTGACGGCCTTTCTGAACATGGGTACCGCCATCGGCCGGCCCTTTATCGGCGTGGCAAGTGACCGCTTCGGCCGGTTCGAAGTGGCCACCAGCCTGACCTTTCTCTGTGGGCTCTCATGCCTGGTCATCTGGATCCCCGCCACGTCCTTTGGAGTGACAGTGTTCTTTGGCATACTGAGCGGAGCAATCTTGGGAGTGTTCTGGATGGTGCGTCGCGCGTCGACTAGCCCCCAGCAGTGATGACCCAAGCTTTCCAAGTTAATTAGGTGGTTCACTGACTTACTTGCATTTGCGCCAGACCATCGCGCCCCTTTGCGTCGAGGTTGCAGGGCTGAAGCAACTTCCTTCGCTGCTTTCGCTCTCTTGGCTCTCTGTCGTTCTGCCGACCACATGTGCGTCCCCTTGATTGCCTTCTCATTGCTCCTTTGCGGTTTGGGTGCTAGTGCTGACATGCCAGCCGTCAAAAAGTCTCGGAAGTGGTGGCGCTGTATCTTCGCCGGCCGGATCACGCCCGGCCCTATTTGTACACCCAGATATTCTGCGGCGTTTGTTACATCTGTGCCAGCTTTTGCCTTTGGGGCGCGCGGATGCTGTGCAAACGAGCAGGTAGACATGCGGAAGGGAGAGACCTGCGAGGAGGGACAGACCCCCAAGAAAGGAACTGGCGAGGAGGGATAGATCCTGCAGAAAGGAACTAAGTCGAGTCCAAGTAGTATCATGTATTTCTAAATGGCCAAGAAAGGTAACCTGGTGACACAGTGGTCCACACGTTGTTGTATTGATGACGAGCTTCTTCCCTCCGAAGCCTCCCTATTTTGCATTCGACCATCGCTCGGCGTCATATTCCTCCATAAGCCGCGTGTACTCGTCGCCCGCTCGAGCCCAGCCGGTAATTCCATCCAGTAGGATAGCACTGGTTATCCCACTGACTTGGCGATCATCAAGGAGGTCTTGAAACCATCCACAAGCGCGCGTCCCACGGCCCTTGGATGAACCTGAACGATTGAAGCGGGTGAGCGCGCGCACAGGCCGCACAATATCGGACTGGCCACGGTGATAAAACGACCTACCACAATACCAGATGACAGTCCGTACACCGGCACTTTGACATAGATTCAACAGAGTCGGGAGGCTGGGATAGAGGCTCTGGGCAGGAAGGTTGATCGAACCTCTGATCGTTCCGCCCTACATTATCACACACACATGACGAGTAAGCCGTCAATAGTCGTAAAGTCGGCCAACATATGGCCATGTTACTCCACCTCACCTCATGATCTGTTCGGCGCAGGTCGACTAGGAGGAAGTCGACCCCTGGTTTCTGGCCCTCCTGAAGCCACTGCCGTAGCTCTTGTCGAGTCACCACTTTGGGTGATTGATTTCGTGGGGTCGGATAGGCCTCGTGCCAGGCGGATGGCTGGGCCATTGTTCAGCACAGTATTGATCGGGCGGATGGACACCGGGATCGCGTCGTTGATATGCTAGATATGGGATTGGCAGAGTGAGAACTTGGAGCGGGAAAACTCCGCTGTCAACAGAAGAAGTCGATGAGGAGCGTTGGACAAGAATGTCTTGGCTTGATTTACTTAGTCACTGGCCTCTTTTCATTCGTTGAACCATCGCGCCAATCATGACCTCGCATGGTAGTCACTCGCGCACTTTCATTGGTTGAAATCCTTCCCACATCCACCGTAACGCCAAATAAGAGTAACAGGGGATGGAAGATAAATGTACCTGAAGGAACACTTGCTCGTCACTACATCATGCACCAGAACTGCTCCCTGATTATCGACTAAAACCTTTACTTTCAGCATCGGCGCGACACAATCTATCAAATCCCCTGCTGCAACGGGTAGCAGAATGTCCGACCCTCGCGAGGACGCTGGCACTGGAGGCGAGCAAAAGGCTATCGTTGATCTACCTGCCGACATGGATGCGGAGAATCAGCAGCTTCCAAAACAGGTGGAAGAGAAGAGATCAGTATATGCGGGCCTTGGGTGGTTAGACCGACTACTCGTCCTCTGGATCCTATTAGCAATCACTGTCGGCATCCTCCTTGGCAACTTCGTCGAAGGGGTTGGGCCGGCTCTGCAGAAAGGCAAATTTGTCCAGGTGTCTGTTCCCATAGGTAAGATCCAACGAAAGATGCTCTTCCCTCTTCCATAACTGACTGGAAATTGTGTGCGACGCAGCTGTCGGTCTCTTGGTGATGATGTACCCAATCCTGTGCAAGGTCAAATATGAGACCTTGCACCGCGTCTTTGCCCACCGCCAGATTTGGATCCAACTGGGTTTCAGCGTCGTGGCCAACTGGATTATTGCGCCTCTTCTTATGGTTTGTGCCACGCTTCGAAGCCTTCGTTAGACTGTATACTGACGAGGTAGCTCGGGTTGGCTTGGGCTTTTCTGCCGGATCGACCTGAACTGCGGAACGGCCTCATATTTGTGGGATTAGCAAGATGCATTGCCATGGTAGGCGGCAACACATATTGTTTCAATCAAGAACACACTGACCAGACTGCATGGCAGGTCCTGATCTGGACAGGCCTTGCTGGGGGTGATGAGGAGTACTGCGCCATTCTCGTGGCCTTCAATTCCATCCTCCAAATGGTCCTCTACGCACCTCTGGCCATTCTTTTCGTCAACGTCATAAGCGACGGCGGCGGGACCGAAGTCGCCTATTCCACGGTCGCCCAGAGCGTCGGGGTCTTTCTTGGCATACCTCTCGGAGCTGCCATCGCCACGCGCTTGATCCTCAGGAGCATCAACGCCACGTGGTACGACCAGAAATTCCTCGGGTGGATCGCTCCGTGGTCGCTCTTGGGGCTCCTGTACACGATTCTCGTTCTGTTCGCTTCCCAAGGCAAGCAGGTCGTTCATCAGATTGTCTCGGTCGTCCGGGTAGCTGCTCCTCTTGTGGTATACTTTGTGGTTATTTTCTTCGTGACCCTGTTGATCACGAGACGCATCGGATTTGGATACAAGCTCGCGGCCACTCAGAGCTTCACTGCCGCCAGCAACAACTTCGAGCTGGCCATCGCGGTTGCCGTGGCCACTTTTGGCGCCAACAGCGACGAGGCGCTGGCCACGACCGTCGGCCCGCTGATCGAGGTGCCAGTTTTGATCTCACTTGTGTATGTTGTGAGATGGATCGCTGGTCGTTGGAAATGGCAAGACTGATCGCATGGAATATTGATAGAGTAGTGATGTTAGCGCGAAGCTGATGTGAAGCTTGAAGTGAACAAGTCAATGAGAATCGCTTAGTCACTCGGCAACGATGATTGGTCAGTGACGAGACGGCCGCACGTGATGTCACCCAACCTGTCATGATTTTTCAAGCCCCGGAATTTTTAATATTTTATTTTTCGCCGATAACGCTTCTCAAGGTTAGGAGCTGAAGGAATATTGCGGACTATCTATTGTCGTCTCTGGGCCCTCGCAATGCTATTTCTCCACTCCTCCTTCACTTATACTAGCGTTGCAGAAGAAGCTGTTCATGCTGGACGATGAAATAAGGCCGAGTATCTTATTCCCATTTGATCTGGCCTGCAACATGGTTACTCGGGTACGGACAACCGAACAGAACCGTATTAACCAACGCAATCTCCGCGCTCGACGAAAAGCGTATGTCCAAGAGCTAGAGCAGCGGGTCCGAAAGCTGGAGAACGAGCGGATCGGGGCAACAAAGGAGGTGCAGGTTGCAGCTCAGCGCGTGCATAACGAAAATCGCCTTCTCAGATGGCTGCTCGAAACGAAGTTTGGGGTCGACGCATACCAAATCAACAATTACCTTTCTGAAGTCAACAGCACTACAGGTATTGGGACACAACTATTCCACAACCCAGGAAATAACGTGGCCGTGCCTACACCAGCAGAGCAGTTAGCATGCGGTCCCGTTTCGACAACAAGCCCAGCAGAGGCGTTTCGGGCGAGGGCGACGCATGATTCCGACATCGCAGAAACAACGAGTGAACCAAGAGAGAAGAAGGGCTCCAAATGCAGCCCAGAATTGTCAGACCATGAACGCAGGTCTCCCACTACATCCTCGACCAGCGCAGAGGCACAACCACCGGTACAAGTTGAATCTCCGACTCGGTTTTCCAGCAACCAATACCTGACGCCACAACAGACTCCACCTCCCACAGGCCTCCAACAAGGCGACCACAGATGTGAAACCAGCCTGGGTCATTCTTCTTGCGTCACCCTTGTGAGCAAGGATTCTCAAGGCCCCTGTGTCTCATCAAAGAAGGATACCGATGCTCATGCTGAAGAAACGTCATGCGAGGAAGCCGCAAGAATCATTGCGAGTCTTCGTGGCCACGTCACCCCAGACGAAGTATGGAACGAGCTAGGTTGTGGTACAACGCAAGCCTGCAGAGTGAAGAATCTCGCGGTCTTCGAACTCATGGATAAGGAGCCGGCATATGTTAGGATATAACCTTTGAATCAACACTAGTGACACGCTCTTCCGGTGGACTTGTCGACGTTCGAAATTCCCTATGCTGAGCCTTGGCTTCACGCCTGGCTCGTCGCCGGTGTAAGAATGAGTCGGATTTTCGCCTAGCTGTTTTGCCAGGGTATAGATAGGTGATTCGCAAGACGTGCGATTCGCAAGACGTGCGATTCGCAGATGAGGACGTCCCCGATCTGCGCTCCACACGTTACACTGCGAAAAGACTCACAACTGAGCATACCGCCAGCAATGCTTCGGAGCAGCTCTCTATACAATAAGCTACGAAAAGACTCTCAACTGGGCATACCGCCAGCCTGCTCGGTACATGTATTGGAACACCTCCCAATAACCAGAGTCGAAGCCGACCACCCAGCCCTGGGCTCTGGAAAGGGAAGGAAATGAAACCGACTCAGAAGATCATCTCAAGTCGAACGATGAGATGAGACGGGAAAGGCGACAAGTTCTCATGAAAGAGCTTACGTGCCAATGGCAAGCTATCCTACGGATCGCAAGGATCGCTTCGCACGCGAGGTCGAGTCTTGAGATTTCAACCCGTGACCACAACCTACACATCCTGTCCGACTGGGAGAATCGTGGTTCGTGAGAGTGCAGCACGAATTCTGGAGACCTTGACGCACCTCGTGTTGGACTGCAGAAATAGGAAATACGAAGGGATGGCAGGGCCCCTTAATGTGAGAGGAGGCGATGGAAACTCTGTATGGAAACTCTGTTGGGAACTTGAGATATATCTCGGCCATCACAAGCCTTCAACTCCCGACATGGACCAGCTGAGGTCATGTCTAGGACACCGCGCTTCAAGAGAATAATATTATGAATCGTTATTCGTTATTTCGTTCGAGACTGCAATACGATTTTGCGGAAGTACTGTGTTCATCTGCAACCACCACGGTGCGACAGCGACATAATACAGACACGAACAAGGCTGTTTCGTCGAAACAGGGAAACTCGTATTCCATCACAAGCACCACGCGACCATATCAATTTGACAAATTGCATCTTCTCGTCCTCTCGTCCTCTCGCCCCCGAGGACTTCAATCCTGCAGCTTCCAGAGTCACGACCAGCACTATGTAACTCGACTCGACTCGACTCTACTCACTCCCTCTCTCTCTCCTCCTCGCCTTTACCATGACATTCTTCTGCTGATGGAACCACCCCCTCCACACCTCCCACTCCCACCGGCCCTTCTCATCGGGCACCAAGTCAAAGTCAAAGTCGCGCAGCACGACGGGCAAAAGCTTGTACATTTCCGTGTTGGTGATGTGCCTCCCGATGCAGATCCTCTTGCCATAGCCAAAGTGCATCATGTGGCGTTCCATGTAGGCCGCGTTCCTGCCGCCGTCGTCGTCACGCAGCCAGCGCTCCGGGATGAACTCCTCGGCGTCGGCGCCGAAGACGTTCCTGTCAAAGTGCACGGCGTTCTGGTTCATGATGACGCCCGTGCCGCCGGGGAAAAACCGGCCGGAAATCTCGACGCCCGGGTGCGGAACCACGCGCGGCAGACCCGTGCCCAGCGAGGGATGCACGCGCATGGCCTCGCGCACGACGGCGTGGAGGTAGGGGAGTTTGACGGCGTCGTTGAATCTCACGGGGTACTTGAGCGCGCCCGTGGCGAAGGCGTCGTCGACCTCGGCGCGCAGTTTCGCCAGCGTGTGCGGGTGCTTGTGCAGGAAGTAGAAGATGGCCGTGAGCGCGATGGACGTGGTGTCGGAACCCGCCCAGATGATGGCCCAGATCTCGGTCGTGGCGTCGAGGATGTGGAAGTCGTTCTTCTCGTCGTGGGCAATGTCGATCAGCTTGCTGAGCGTGTCGTGCGGGTTGTACGGTCTCCCGGCCGCCATGTCGTCGAGCCGTTGTTGCATCGCCTCGTGCGCTTGCTTGATCGTCGTGGAGAAGCCCTTGGCCCCGGCCCGGGTTTCCGGATACAGCAGCTCGAAGAGGAAGTAGAGGTTTCGGAACCCCCATGGGATGTTGTTCAGCGCCGCGATCGGGTTGGGCATGATGTCCATGAGGTAGCACCACTGGCCGTAGTCGATATTGTCTCGGATGAAGCCGAAGCCCCCTTCACGCCCGTAGAACATCTCGCCGATCACGTCAAAGGTGTACTTGCGCAGCCAGACGGACATGTCAAAGGCTTCTCCGCTGGCAGCGAACCGGTCCATCTGCCGGTGGAAGAGCTCAATGACTCGGTCAACGCACGGTTCATACTCCAGCACAGCACCTTGCGTGTAGATAGGAGCCACCATTCGACGGCGTTCCGTGTGCCGAGCCTCATTCCGTTCCGAGAAGCTGTCGATTCGCTTGGGATTGATGTTGGTGATGAAGTTGTCGTAGAAGTCACCCTTTGGGAATTGGTATTTGGGGCCGTAAATGGTTTCGAGCGCGGTGGCATCCATGATCTGCACCTGGTTGGGGGCAATCCTGACGAAATTTCCATACTTTTTGTGGATTGGCAGCTGATGGTCTTGACCCCGGCCATATCGTACAGCGCGAAAGTACCACAGAGTGGTGATCGAGGCCCAGAACGGGCCGGGGATGTCCTTCAACGGGTGGAAATACCGATTGTAGATGACAGTGCCGAGGGCATAGACGACAAGGCCTGCCACCAGAACTTCAACTCCCAAGACAGCTTTGTCGAGTACATATGATAACAGGGCCATCTTGGAGTTGATGGATAGGTACTTGGATCAAACTTGGGGAGAGGGGGGAAGGGTGACAAAGAGAGAGGAGGGGGACCATGGGACAAGAAATAGGAATGCCCACCTTCCGCCTGAAGAGGAGCGAGATTCAGATACCGACGAGATACCCCTCGCGTCCTAACCGGCCCTTCGCAAACGCCAGGTACCCATTGGTACTCATGCGTTGATGGGGTGCATGAGGAATGGGCGGCCGGTACCAACTATCGACCACAGCAAGCAACGACTGGTGGTCACATATTGCGGAGAAGCCCATGTTGCATGAGGACGTACCTAAGCTCTGGCCGGTTCGAAGGAGTATATCAGTCGTCGAGTTACGTGGCATTCTTCAGGACCCTGATAACCACCGAGTTCCTGATAGCGCATCGGACGATGGCGGAGCTTGCATGGCTTGGTGACAAATCCGAGACTGTGTTTCCATTGTGGCGGGTTTTCTGTGCATGAGCACGAGGATCATGTGCTGTCCGTGGCCGGACTGAGAGCTCTCTAAATGCGAGCTGCTGCAGTAAGCCGTGACTGCTATTGGTTTGGGTGACGATGCAAGAGACTGAACTGGGCCGGCAGATGGCACAAATTCCGATTCGTGTTGGATTTTCTCCCAGTGAGGGGCACTGGAAGAACGATCCCGGTAGCACAGAGATATGTTATACGGGCTTCCCCTCGCGATGAAAGCAAGCAATGTTACACAACATGTTTCTGTCAAGCTGTTTTGAATCCATCAATTAGCGAAATGTCGAACGAAACTTAGATGCTCGCCAAGCCTGGCACGTGCATGGCTTTAACGGCGCGTCGGGCCTTTTCCGCCCGGAGCTGCCGCCGATAGCTTTAACTAATTCATGTCAACCGCCCGCCTCGCTTGTTCCGCGCCGAACACCTGTTCCCCCATCCTGAAAGTTGCTCACCGCTGGCCAGCAGGTCCCCTTGCTAGATCCGGGCTCTTACCGCACCCGTGCAGGAACATCCAGAGCTTGGAGCCCGCGTCGCGGTGAACCATGGACTCGCTCGTGCTCGCTCCCCTCGACAACATAGAAACCCACCTCACCGCGCTCATAACCACCCTCACCCAAACCAACACCTTCTCCAACGCGCCCCAGCTCGCAAAGGATCTCATCACCGATGATGACCACCTCACGTCCGCGCTCGCCCTCCTCCAAAGACACCAGCAAAACTACGCCCGGATCCTCAATCTCCGCGAAGAAGTCACGTCCTTGCAGGAACAGCTGAAAGACACGGTGAGGAGATGTGTCGCGTTCAAGACAGAGATTGGCGCGATCAATCCGGCCATTCTTGAAGAGGACTCTGAGGATGAAACTGAGCATGGCCACGGGGGATCCGTCTCGGAGGTGGACTATCACACGCTTTTGACGTTCGCGGCGCGGATCGGCAAACACAACACCATCGCAGCCAAAGAGGCAGAGACAGAAGCTGTGCGGAGAAAGATGGCCGCCAAAAATGCGAACGGTGGCCAGACCTCGACTGACCCTCTCGCGACGCAAGACACGGTAATAGCCGCGACGGCGCCGGACGGCGAACCTGGCAATGAGAAGACCAACACGGTAGAAACCACAGCTGAGCTGTCTCGCATCGATAATGCTATCGCCATTGACCGCGCCCGCATGGGCATGGCCTTCCCCGACGGTCCGTCCCTGCGGATGGGTGCACTGGGTCAACTCCAGCTTTTCAGGGAACGACAGGAGCAACAAGTGTCAGGCGGCGTCGGCAATGAGGACGAAACTGCCAAGCTGGTTCAGGAAGCGGTGGAACGCGAGGTAGCTAGGATTGTGAGGGAAACAGAGGATATCGCGCCTGAGCAGAAGGTGGAAGAAGAGGCCACTGTGTTCCCAGAGAGTCCTATTCTGGGCAGACGGGAGGACCCAGCGACGGCGGCCACGAGACAACCCTCGACCAGCCAAGGGCAAGCTCAAAGACCACCCAACCCGCCGCAGCCAAAGAGGAAACTTGACCTCGACTTTCCTGATAGCGATGACGAAGACGATGATTGAAGAGGTCGCAGTACTCACCATTTTTGCTTCAGAGAAGTCCTGGCAGATCGTGAACTGCTAGAGAGAGGAGACTACTACGACGTCGCTAAAAGCACGGGTGTGACAACATCATTTGAATTGAGCAATTGCCGATTTTGGCAGATGAGAGGAAATACCAGCACCGACGCTGTTTACAACAGCACAGCACGCCCTCATTTTCCTTACTGTGTGTGGTGAGCTCTGGGTTCACTTCGACTGCTGCTCCTTGCCCGGCGCCTCAAGTCGAAACTTGGACTATGATTTCCCATTACCCGCCCAATCTGTCAAGGCCATCTTCATCTCGTGCAATCGCCTAAGCCCCACGTATCGATACAATAAATACCCCGTCTCACCATGAACAGCTTTGGTGCGTCTGCAAGCTCTCATACACTGGTTCTGCTATCGGATATTCGTCCTTCACATTTGCTTCCCTTGGTCACAGCAGGCTCGGAGCTTCCAACAACACATTTCTCGGTTTGCCGCTATCGTTTCGCCTTGCCAATGCTTCGTCGTGTCCTCATCCCGAATCCCTTGACCTCCCGATGCTTCGGTACCACCAAACTCGTGCCTCTTCTATTTGGGTCAAAGTCCTCATCCTCGTCATCGTCATCACCATCGTCTTCAGAAGGCGTCTCACTTCCAATGATATCAGACAGATTGGGTGACTGGGGTTCGGCATCGTCAGCTGTGACCTCGGGATCGTTCAGGACCATGTCGCCTTCAGCGTGGGCATACGAGGATAAGGGCGGAGTAGCCTCGGGGGCGGTGTCGCCCATGATTTCAGTGGTGGTTTGTTGAAGTGCAGCGAGACTTCTTTCGATCATCCCGTTGTCGAGATATGGGGAGTAAGCGGAGGCCGCAGGAGTGTACGCAGCTGCGGACGCTACGTATAACTGTCGAGCTGGCGGACCATGCTGCTGTCGCTCTATCATGCCCATTGGTCGTGGAGCTGGGAAAACATTCTCGATCCTGCCATGAGAGCTCTTGGTCTGGACGTTTTGGTTGGCAGAGAGGGCATACCGTCTGTAGCCGCCTCCCTGGGACAAACTGTCGTGTCTAGCACATTGTTCGGCATGGAGACCTGCAATTCCAGGTCTATCATCCCTGTTATTGCCAGTCGCGAGGCAATAAGTCGGGGCGGGAGAACAAGGGTAAGTGGGTGAGGTTGTTATGGATTCGTCCAGAAAATGCATGCCTCTGGTCGGGGATCCACTGCTGGCGGATCTATTCTTGATGGGAGAAGTATCATGGTCGCTGCAGAGATCAGCGTTAGACCAGAGTCCAGGAGTTTGGATACCGTTGACGGCACTGGCCGCAGAGGCAGAAGTTGACTCCAGGGCTGCTCGCCTAGTTCTGGCTGATACTGGCTGTTCGGTGGAGACTAGCGGAGCAACATTTGCTGTGGAGGCCGGCATGTATAGACCTGGAGAGTGCTCTGCTGCAAGTGCCGGGGAATGGTCTTGAAGATGCCGAGCATCGAAAGCAGCATTTTGTCCCTGCAGTCGAGCAAACACCGCCTGTTGTCTGGTCCGATCGAAAACCGCGCACGCTCTGCTTGCTGTCTTCTTCTGTCGGTCTCTGCGTAATCGGGCTCGTATCTCATCTCTTCAAGTTCGTCTCGCTTCTGTCCCAGCTTCTGCTGGAGATATTCCCTTCTGCGGTGCTCATGGATGTAACTGTGATAGTGCTGCCTCATTACCCAATCAGTCTCTGTCTTGTAAAGAGCGGCCCCCTGGTAAGTCATGGTATCTTCGGGCTTGGAGCCGTATCTCAGGTCGTGAAAGGACTGTTCCCAAATATTGCTCTGTGGCAGCATGGCTTCTCTGGGTGAGAGCAATTTGAAATCGACATGGTTGAGATGGGCATGTCCGTCGTGAGTCGCCCGCGGGTCGACCGCAATATCCGCGACGAAGAGATCTTCCATGATAAAGGCGAACAGTATTGAAGGCCAGTGGATAAATGCACGTCCTCAGTGTGGCCGTGGCGAGGACGAGGTGCGTTGACAGTGGACAAGTCATCCTGCACTGCGCCGCGCGGATGTGGAGTGAAGATGCATTGATCGAACTATCACGCAGGCAGATGGTGAGGCAGATCTGAAAAGCTTTATGATGGTGTGGTTGCCGTGTGTGAATGGCGAGGAAACAGAAGGGCATCGAACGCAGTCAGTAACGACTCACCGCCGTGCTCCTGTCTGCGTCAGTTCAACTTCACCTTCACAACTGGAGCACGCGGCTCTGCCTCGCCATTGACTCAATTTGTGCTTCAGTATCTCTATCAAAGAATGTCTAGCAAGAGCGGGTGGAACGAAATCACCTAGTCTTCTCCATCGTCTTCTACGGGAGTCTCTCCTCAAGCGTGATCGTGAGCACTCAGCTCCTCATCAGACCCAAGTTGCAACAGAAAGCGCCGTCGAAGAGAGTCGCAGTCTCCATGTCAGTGTCTTCGACAGTCACCGTTTCAACTCTTGCCCCGTATCATCGTTCTCTAGACATGAGCTCTTACTAGTGGCACCGTCCTTCCTCTCGCTGACTGTGCACCAAACTGTTGGGCGTCCACCTTCTGGAAGTCTTGCCACAGAGATAGAAGACCAATTGTCCACCACAGGAAGACCAAGAACGACACATCTGTGATGACTAGTGGCACAAAGGTCTGGCTTTCGAATCAGTCTCTTCATGGTCCTAGGAAGGGTGTTTGGACATCTGCAGGGCCAGCTCCAATTCCATCCAGGACACAAGCACCCATAAAGCTTGAATAGTCTTTCGCGACAGATTTCCATATGTCCAAGATCAAGAAGACCCACGTGGAGAAGATAGATACCGGTCAGCGACCGACCGATGTCTGGAGAGGAATCCTGCGTCCACTCAACAAGGACAGGTTTGACAACTGGCGTGATGACTAACCAAAGGAAGTTGCTGAACTCTAGGACATAGGTTGCAGCTCCCGGTGAACTGAACGGCATCTGCCAGGTGGTTATCTCAGTATTTGTTCCTTGCCACGGTGAGAAGGGGACACACATTCACAAAATAGTTCATCTCCATCTTTGATAGAGCGGGAGCAGTATTATGCAAGGACGGTGGAAGACACTTGCCGTCTAAGGTCTTCCACAGTAGCTGACTCCAGTACGAAGAAATCTCTGCTTCCAGGGTCCATGGTATCCGAGGCCATTCCGCTCATATCTGTCGATACTCGGTCAGGATCGGTGCGACATCCATGAACAAAAGATTCTCCTTGGCATGGATCAGGACAACCCAGTCTGAAGAGCCAAGGCGAGGGCTTCATGGACACCACATTGTCGGGTAGGGCCCTCGCGGCTGCCAGTGTTCCCATACCCGAGGAAGACACTACAAGGCGATCGCTGGGCAGAGATCTGCTGTTGTGGCGGAAGAGTACTCCGTACGGTAAAAGTGAACCCGTGCCTGTTCGGCTCGACTCGTTGGCTTTCACCAGGAAATCGGACAGAGGGCGACGTCAGTGAGAGACAGTGTCGTTCGGCGAAGAAGACAAATGCTACAAACTGGTCACACTTTGACAAGGTAAGGTGGAGACATCGGTAATGTCTGTTGATGGTGCTCAAACAGTTCGAAATCGTCGTCTAGATCATTTAATTAAAATAGTGCTATAGAAGATGAAAGCATTGGGCATCTTGCTTATCAAGTGCCTCGCTTCCCCCACCCACTGAAGAAGCCTCCAGTGCTTGCCGATGCCGCATGGGAGGCCTTTGGCACTTCCTTTGTGCCAGGGCTCGGGGTTGATGGTATGGGAGACTCAGAACTGTTGCCTCGCGTGGTAGGAGACGAGTTCGTGCCTCCTAAAATTTTTCGCAGTGCGTCCAGCTTAGCTTTGGTCTCTTCTAGTTCCTGTCTCGCAACTGCTTCGGCGGTCTTGGAGTTGACCAGCTCAAGCAGGATAGCGTCGTTCGGAACAGGCTCATGGTTTTCGGTTGCCAGGACTGCTTGCGTGTTGAGGCTGCTTGATCGTTTTGAGTACGGCCCGACGCTGCTTGACCGATTTGCTTCCGGTCTACCCAGCCTCTCCTCTCTCAGCCCGGAGTTCTTCGGTGGAGGCAGCTTCAGATCCGGAAACTCGGTGACAGGCGTGTACAGGTCAGCAGGTGATTCGGGCACCGAATTGTTTCGAGAGCGCAGTTCACTGACTGTGCGTTCTAGGCGCTGCTTGTCACGGTGAGCATCCTGTATACGAGCTCGCGCATCCCGTAGCTGCTCCTTCAGAGTGTGATGTTCGGCTTCTCGCTCATCCAATTGTCTCATGAGGTCGCGGCACTTCGTTACCTCCGCCTCATGCTTTTCTTTCCACTCTGAAAGCGCATCACGTAGCTGCAGTTTTGATTCATCCACCGACAGACGCTTGACCTCTCCTCGACTCAGTTGTTGCTGAGCCTGGGCCATCACATGTTCTAGCTCTGTGGTGGCTTCTGAGTCGTCCTCCCCAGCGAGTTCCTTGATTTCTGCGGTTTGTGAACGCAGACAATCCAAGAGGGTGCGTGCGATTCGCCGGTCTTCTTCGCGCTCTTCCCGCTCGCTTTGGAGCTCCTGAGCAAGTTCGACCTGCTGCCGCTGGACTTTTGACAACTCGGTGAGCAGCTCTTCAATCTGCTGGTGCAAATCGCGGTTGCTCGAGCTCGGGGTCGGTACAATTGATGACTGGATACTGATGGCAGTCGATAACGTGGCTTTTGAGGGACCGTCCTCTGAAAATTCCGTGGCAAACGTACTCGCTTCAGAATTGGTGGTCTCAAGCGAATTTAGGGTCGACGTCAGACTCTGGCCAGAAGAAGACTTTCGGATCGAGACATTGTTTGCTGGAATCGTGAGGCTGAGGTTCTGAGACCTCGATGGTGCATGCGACGACCCGGCCCAAAATCTGCCCAAGAATGAGGCTGCGGCACTCTTCAGCGATGGCGCTGTTGTTATGTTGTGCGACTGTCTGAAGCCGGCTTCCAGGGTTTGCAGAGACTCCTGGCTCACAAGTACGGTCAGAGACACAAAGTCTGCGACCAAATCGTCGGCATGTTGTGCGTAGGTATCCCATAATCCTCGCGAGAGTAAAAATTGCAAGGCGTCTTCAAACTCCCTGAATGCAAGAAGTTTCTTCTGATTTCGTTGCATCAAAGATAGTGCTACCCTCATCAATGTCTCCGTTGCCCCTTCGGATAATATGACATCGTAAATGCGTAGTAGCATAGGGAGTGGACAAGTGACGGCGAAAAATGATAGAAACCACTGGGATACATAGAGTGGTTCGACTTTCAGCTCTTCGAGATGAGCCGCAAGCTCTGGCAGGTGTCGGCTGAGTAGCTGCTGGAATTGGTATATGCGAAGATGAAGTCCGGACAAATCAGGGAGATAGCACGAGCGTAGGTCGTAGTTCTCCATGAGTCTGCGTCTGATCAGCACTGATTTCCGGTGGAAATGCCTTCGTCACATACCTGACAAGAATGCAAAAAGCCTCCGGCTCGCTCATGTGCATCAGCAGAGGTCCAACGACGAACCCTAGGCCTTGACAATATCCGATCTTTTCGTCGTACAATGAAAACGATTTCAGGACTTTCCCAAGCATGCGCTGGCCATCGCCATCCTTTTCCCGAAACATGTCGACATTTGGGAAGCTGCGTCCCACGTCCTTGCCGATCAGACCATCATAGGGACTCGGCTGATTCGACAACCGCTGATACTCGGAGCGTAGGAAGCCATCATGTGCTCGGGCAATGCTGGGCCACACAACACCCCTCAAAGGTGGTGGGACACCTCCTCGGATTTTGTTGGAAGTCAAGGTCGGCAGTCGCTGGGCTGTTTGGGTGTAGTCTTGGACCAAAGCTGCCCAGAACTCTAGCTCGGTCATGGGTGGCGCAGGCAACAGCGAGTATCTCAGTGACTGAGGTTGAGGACCGGTGACCATTCTCTTTAGCTGGTGCATGGATGGTGGCCGGGTGTTTTTCCGCGGTCGTGAGGTCGTCGAAATGCCAGCCTTCGGGTCAACGGCCAATGCTGCGTTCTCCTTCTCCAGGCGTGCCAGGAGCAAGGCGGTAGACTATGTCCACAGTTAATTGTGTCAGACGCGTAGGGGGAAAAGCAGTCTCACTTCGTCTGTGGCGTCATATTTGGCCTCTTGTTCTTCGGTCTTCTCCAGGCCTTCCCAGTTGACTGAATTCATCGAGATGGAGCTTTCCGAAGTTCTCGACGACGACCGACTCGAACGGGTAGATGGAGAGTCGCTGTGAGGGACAGACACCTCCTGTGGGACATCACGTTCGTCGATGATATCAAGGTCAGGGTCGAAGGGTATGTCGGAGAGTCGTACCGACACCATCGAGCTGCGTGGGAGAGGCACATTTTCCGGTTCGACGTCACTGTCGTCCTCCGCTACGTGCTGAGAAGGAAGGTTGCAAGCAGCGTCAACGTCTGCCATCTTGGACGATACTGTAGAGTCGCATACAGGCAGGCTGCTTGTGGCCGAAGCAATGGGCAGTTGGGAGGCGGGGTGGTAGAGAGGCCGGGCAAATGAGTGAACCCTGGCGGTGGTTGGTACTTTTCCAGCAGCAGCGACGACACTCGCTGTCAACGACTACAATGAGAGGCTGCTCGCGAGGTCTTCCAGCGACCGTGCGAGGGGCGTGTAAAACAGTAAAGAATGGACGTCGTCGAGGACAATGAAGGAGGTGGAAGTGAGCACGGAGCGCCGACTGAATGTTTGAGCAGTGCCAGAGGCAGAGGCAAAGCCAATGCAATGCTAATCGCCAGTGGTGGTGGGCCAGGCCGCCAGGGGCTTGCGGAAACTATGGGTTTGGCACTACGAGTAGTACAGTTCCCAGTAGCCCGTCGTGCCCCGCTTACGCCTGTTAAAGTGGCAGCGCCCAATGCTCGGTCGCCCTCGGTTCACGCAATCTCGGCTGGCTGCATCTAGCAATGGTAGTCTCGCAGTATCTGATCGGCATTAAGTTTGCACGCACGAATGGACTGCCAGTTATCATATGAAGGCAACGCTTGTTGACCTCAAGGAGGCGGTTGAATGCGGCAATCCCGCTGTAACGTACGGAGTACACAGTGGTGTGGTGGGTGTCTGGCCACCGCCCTGACATATCTGAGGCACCAAGTGCTACAGCTGCGACCAATACACAGTGACTTTGTATGATAGTAGGAGACACGCCATCACGCGATCACTTGAGCCAGGGCATGAAAAGCACAGAGAGGGTCCCAGATCCAGAATTATATCGGAGCAGCGCCGACGAATGCATAGCCTCATCCTTCAGTCACGTCTACTCTGCATCGCAACCCTTCCTTAGACACCATGTACGTGATCGTCATGATGAAGAAAAGGTATGGCGTTGTGTATGAAGTACTCCGTCGTGCATTCCAAGTCAAGACAACTCCCAGGCAGAGAATAATGTGTCCAAAGACGGTTAGCCCCAAATCTTCCAAAAGTGGCTAGCCCTGCACGCCGTGACGCGACCTGTTAACAAACAAACAATAGCGACACCACGCGCTGTGCAGGTCTCCTCGACGCTCCACAGTACACTGTCGACTTCCCTCAAGACGAATGTACATCTAACAATCCTCTACCAGCCCACTGTCGGGGCATACAAACATCTGAAGGGCCTCACTCGCCGCTCACCTCCAGCATGGATGACTCCATGTTCGACATGGAGGACGGTAGTTCAGACTTTGAACCTGTCACCGTGAGTCTGGGTCGCTAACAGTTGCGAGCGAATCTATTAACATTGTCGCCTAGAAATCAAAGCCCAAAGCTGCAAAGAAATCGGCGGATGCGAAACCTGCGGCCAAAAAGGCAGCTGCTCCGAAGGCGAAACCTGGTCCGAAGCCCAAGACAACGGTCCCCAAGAAGCGCTCTAAGAAAGACGCGGAAGATGAGAGCCTGGTCAGCGACGCGGCCGATGCCTTCGATGATGAATCCCTTCTTGCAGATACCCCTCCCATGGCAAAGAAGGTCAAGCCAAACCCGAATCCTGTCAAGGGGAGCCACAAGAAGCCTCTAGGTGACCTCGTCAACGAGGCGATTGGGACAGATGGCGCAAACGATTCCCCGCAGCCACAAAGAAAGAAGCGCGTCTCTGAGCAATACCAAAAGCTCACGCAGTTGGAGCACATTATCAAGCGTCCTGACACATACATTGGTTCCGTCGAACGTACAGAGAAGCAAATGTGGGTCTACAATACTGAGCAGGACTCGATGGAGTTTCGTGAGGTCTCATACGTTCCCGGCGTGTTCAAGATATTTGACGAAATCTTGGTCAATGCCGCAGACAACAAGCAGAACGACAAGAACATGAACGAGATTCGTGTAACCATCGATCGCGAGAAGGGCGAGATCAGTGTCTGGAACAACGGTCGCGGCATTCCCATCGAGATCCACTCAAAGGAGAAGATCTACATCCCGGAAATGATTTTCGGGCACCTTCTCACTGGCTCGAACTACGATGACAACGAACAGAAGATCACCGGCGGCCGAAATGGTTACGGCGCCAAGCTTGCCAACATATTCAGTACAGAATTCACAGTCGAGACATCCGATTCGAGACAGAAGAAGAAGTACAAGCAGACCTGGACCAAGAACATGTCTGAGATGGGCAAGGCGAAGATCACCGACGCCAAAGGCGAAGATTACACCAAGGTTACCTTTTTCCCAGACTTTGCAAAGTTCGGCATGAGCGCTATGGATGATGACTTGGAGGCCCTTTTCAAGCGTCGTGTGTACGATCTCGCTGGCACTTGTAAGGGTGTCAAAGTGAAACTCAATGGCTCTGCGATCCCAGTCAAAAACTTCAAGAAGTATAGCGAGATGTACACCAAGGCCATCAAGAAAGAGCGTGGCGTTGAGGCTGCTAATGATGCCTCGGATATCATCACTGAGTCTCCCGACCCTCGTTGGGAGATCGGATTTGCTGTCTCAGACGGCTCTTTTCAGCAAGTCTCCTTTGTCAACTCCATCGCAACAACCTCCGGAGGCACGCACGTCAACTATATCGCCGATCAAATTGTCAATCGCTTAATTGAAATCGTGAAGAAGAGGAACAAGGGTGGCGCACAATTGAAGCCGAATCAGATTCGCAACCATATCTTTATCTTTGTCAACGCACTGATCGTCAACCCAGCCTTCACATCGCAGACCAAGGAGCAACTTACCACGAAATCTAGCCAATTCGGAAGCAAGTGCCAGATCTCCGACGAGTTCATGAAGAAGGTGGCGAAGACTGAGGTCATCGAAAACATTCTCCATTTTGCTCAGCAGAAGGCTGATCAGATTCTCAAAAAGTCTGATGGCAGCAAGCGCAGTCGCATGAACAACCCGAAGCTGACTGATGCGAACAAAGCCGGCACCAGAGAGGGTCACAAGTGTACACTGATCCTGACTGAAGGTGACTCAGCCAAAGGCCTGGCGATGGCAGGACGATCCGTTGTAGGCCCAGATTTGTTCGGTGTCTTCCCACTACGTGGTAAGCTACTCAACGTCCGAGATGCTTCGGTCGATCAGATCTCGAAGAATGCCGAAATCCAGAACATCAAGAATTTCTTGGGCCTCCAACACAAGAAGACCTATACTGATACAAATGGTCTTCGTTACGGTCATTTGATGATCATGACCGATCAGGATCATGACGGAAGTCACATTAAAGGGTTGCTGATCAACTTCCTACAAGTACAATTTCCCAGTTTACTCAAGATTCCAAAATTCTTGGTCGAATTCATCACTCCCATCGTCAAAGTTTGGAAGGGCGACCCCAAGAATCCGACTCAGTCCCGGTCGTTCTACACCATGCCCGAGTACGAAGCCTGGAAAGAGGCTCACAAGCACGAAAAAGGATGGGAGAACAAATACTACAAGGGGTTGGGTACAAGCACCACCGAAGATGCGCAGCAATACTTCAACGACATCGATAAGCACCACAAGGAATTTGACGTAATGCAGGACGAGGAAGCGTCCTTGATCGAACTTGCTTTCTCCAAGAAGAAGGCAGATGAACGCAAGGAGTGGCTACGACAATTTAAGCCCGGCACATACCTCGACCATACCACCAAGAGCATTTCGTACACTGATTTTGTTAATAGAGAGCTGATACTGTTCAGTATGGCTGACAACATTCGATCCATTCCTTCTGTTGTCGACGGCTTGAAGCCCGGCCAGCGGAAGGTCATGTACGCATGCTTTAAGCGAAACTTGAAGAAGGATATGAAAGTCGCTGAACTGGCAGGTTTGGTTGGTGGAATGACAGCTTATCACCATGGCGAGGCTTCTCTTCAACAAACGATTGTCGGCTTGGCTCAAACCTTCGTTGGATCGAATAACATCAACCTTCTTGAGCCATCAGGCCAATTTGGTACTCGAAACCAGGGAGGAAGTGACTCTGCAAGCGCTCGTTACATCTTTACGCGCCTATCACCTTTTGCCAGGAAACTCTTTCACCAAGCCGATGAGCCTCTTCTCACGTACAATTTCGATGACGACAAAAAGATCGAACCGGAAGTTTATGCACCGGTCGTCCCCATGATTCTTGTCAATGGCGCGGATGGTATCGGAACGGGCTGGAGCTCCTCGATTCCCAACTACAACCCTGAAGATATTGTGGCGAATCTGAAGCGCAGAATGGCTGGGGAGGACTGGAAGCCCATGCAACCATGGTTCCGTGGATTCAAAGGCGAGGTCAAAGAGACAGCCCCTGATCGTTTCCAGTTTAGCGGTATCATCACGCAGACCGGTAACACTGAGGTGGAGATTACCGAGTTGCCCATTCGCACTTGGACACAGGATTTCAAGGACAAGCTCGAGGAGATCATCAAGGCAGAGAAGACTCCGTCGTTCATCAAAGACTATAAGGACTACAACACCCACGACTCTGTGCACTTCATCATTCAGATGGATGAGAAACACATGAACGCCGCCATCTCGGAAGGACTTGTAGAGAAGTTCAAGCTCACCAAGTCCGTAGCAACGTCGAATCTCGTTGCATTCGACCCTGAAGGCCGTATCACCAAGTACGCAAATGTCGAAGCCATCATGGACGAATTTTACAGCTATCGCCTGCAGCTGTACGCCAAGCGGAAAGAGTGGCTCTTGCAAGAGATGCAGAAGGAATTGAGGCGGTTCACCAACCAAGCTCGATTCATCCAGATGATCATTGATGGCAAACTTAGCATCTCCAAGAAAAAGAAGGCCGTTCTCATTGCTGAGCTCCGAAAGCTTGGGTTCGATGCGTTTCCCAAAACTCAAGATGCCGCCAAGCATGGCGAGGAAGAGCCTGTTGTCGAAGAAGATACGGAAGATGATTCTGTCGATGCCAGTTCCTATGACTACCTTCTTGGCATGCCCTTATGGTCATTGACACAAGAACGTGTCGAGCGGCTACAACGACAGATTGGTGACAAAGAAGCAGAAATTGATGTCTTGATGAAGAAATCCAAGGAAGATCTCTGGAACCACGACCTCGACGAGTTCATTGCTGAGTGGCGGTTCCAACTGGAGGACGAGCACAATCGCAAGCGTAACATCCGGAAAGGACGGCGTGTCTCGAAGAAATTTGCCACCGCAGCCACTACTAAGCCGACCGCGAAGAAGCGAAAGGGACTTGGCGACGCTTTGGACGATGATTCTGATTTTGAGGCGTTCGTGCCCAAAGCGAAAAAGGCTGCGCCAGCTCCAAAACCAATCCAGCCTACAAAGCAGCGCTCTATCGCGGCGTATGTTGCCCCCAAGACGAATGCTTTGAAAAGTGCGTTGGAAAAGAGAGCATTGTATACTGATGGTTCCAGTGACCCCATCGAAGAACCTGAAACGGACGCTGCGAAGCCAAAAGCTTCCAGCGAAGCGAAAGGCGCAAAACCCGAATCGGATGCCGATGCTGCTCTCTCGAAAGCTGGCAGTCGGCAGTCTCGTGCTGTCACCAAGAAGCCTACCAATTACGCTTTATTGAGTGATTCGGACAGCGACAACGGAGACGGGCTACTTGCCGACCTTGGTGACATGGTCAAAGGGCTTCCTAGCAACCCCACCACTGATAGTGGCAGCGAAGCCCGAGCTCTCTTCTCGAACTCGGTGTCTCGGCCAACCAGCAGTCACGGTTACAAGCCCATTTCCAAACCCGTTGCAAAGACATCAATGAATTTGTCAGATGATGAGACCGACTACAAGATGTTGGCTCCTCAACAGTCTCCAAGACGGTCCATCATTGTGACGAACAAGGATGACACGAACGTCCCCGAAGAGTTGGATGATGTGATAATCCCTGCGAAAAAGCCAGTCACGACGAAGGCGAAGAAGACAGTTAGCGATGATAGTGACAGCGACGCCGTCCTTCCGAAGCCTAAGAAGTCAGCACCTGGGAAGAAGGCTATCAGTGACGATAGCGACAGCGATGTGGTCCCGTCTAAGCCGGCTAAAAAGGCTGTTTCCAAGAAGACGGTGAAGGATGAGCTACCCAAAGCAAAGAAGCCGGCTGCGAAGAAAGCTGCTCCGGCAGCTAAGAAGGTTCAGCAGTCCCCGGTTGCGAAGGCCTATGCAAAGAGATTGGCGAAGAAGAAGGTGGTGGACTCGGACGACGAGATGGATGCTTTGGCTGACGATATTCTGAAATCGCCCTCCGCATCGGATTCAGATGAGCCTGTGGCCAGCAATCCTGCACCGAGACCGGCGAGACGAGCGGCGACGACGAAGAAGGCGATGGCTTATACATTCGACGATGACGACGATGAGGATGGTGATGCTGGATTCCAGGATGATGGTTCCTCCGCAGCATTCTCAGATGAGTAAATCTTATGTTCTTAGGGCACGCATACTGGGAAAGGGCAGAGACCCGAAGACAATGGCGTGCTCCAAGATTCCCGACAGAGTTTCCTTTTGGCAAGAAATGCAGTGGCTCAGCCCTGTCTGATCGGAGGTATCATGCTGTGACGATGGCATAGACTTGGCTTTAATATGACATCTTGAGTTTCGCTACTCACTTACTCTGAGACCTGCTTGTCCATGGACTTTGGTTGACATCCGCCAGCACAAATCAAGGAGGTTTTGATCGATCTTGTCGCTAACATTACGTCGCTAACAGCAAGGTTCCCGCGCCCGTCCCTTCCGACGGATGCACCTCGTGGCTCTGCCACTTTCAAGTCATCCCACGCTTGGAGCGTCTAGAAACAGAAGTCATGCTGTTGTGTACCTGTTTGTGCATGTCTTGGCATGGGTGTTTCTTTGTCTGTTCGGTAACTATTGCAAGGCTGACTGAATAGTGGACCGATTGTGCAACGTACCAATGCAAGGCACCGCGGAGGAGGATGGAGCCGCATGACCATCCGATAACAGCAGTCACGGTAACGTGGTGAGTCCTTCCGAAGGGAAGTTTTTGCAGGCTGATGACAGGTGGTTGTCTTCTCAAAGCTTCGTTCTCGGGCGGCCGATACAGTTCGAGGGCAGCTGCAGACGACGTCCGAGGCGATGCCAACCTATCCTCGCTTTGTCAATCCGCCTACCCGTTAGAGGGGATGTGGTGAATTCGACAGCGTCAACCGGCCCTAATTCGTGCCTTGCAACGCAGGCTGTCTTGTTCATTGGGGTCAGGGCAAAGCCGGACACTTGGTTTGCTGTTGCTATGCTTGATATCCGGCCTCCCAGAGTTGAAGCCCAGCCAACTCGCCTCTGCGTCGTTCCGGAACCCCAGGAACGACTTTATTCACCGCTAATCCAGCGTGTAAGCCAGATCCAACACCATGCGTTCTTTGATTCGTCAACGTTGGACGAATCTGGACATACCGCCTCGTCTACCATCTGGCCTAGACTGGCAGTCTGCCGCAACAGCTGCAGGAGTTCGAAGATATGCTGCCATATCTAGGTCTTTCTTTGTATGCGAATGTCGGTGTGTGGATCGGGTACAATCGTTTCCTCCAAAGCGTCGCTGTTTGTAGGGCTCAAGGCTTTGATGTTCCTTGTTCTTTAGGTTGCTATTTGCCATCTATATCAAGCAAGCCCTAAATCATCTTCCCAACCATCTTCGCCAGCACCAAAGCGCTCGGTCTCGCATTGATCTCATCAAGACGGCATTGGCAGGAACATGGCTGCGATCCACTCCCTTCTTAACCCAGCACAGGAGGGTGAGGGCTATGACAGCAATAATGGCAGCTCCAAGGAAGATCACTCCGCCGTGGACAGCCAGACGTCACCAGGGTCGGAGCTGACAGAACATGCTCTGGACAAACGCCTGCGGAAGAAACAGAAGGTCTGCAAGGACGCTGCAGTCTTCAAGCCAAGCACCGTTCGAGGGGAATGCCGATATCCGCCGGACGAATTTCAAGACGAGCTGCTCGAAGCAAAACATCAGATGTACGAAGTGTACCCCATTGGCGACATTGCAACATACCCACGACATATTCCCTACAACAGCGAGAAGAAGTTGTTCTGGGAGAAAACAGGGAGGGAAAGCTTTGAAGGTATGATGATTCGCAGCAATCCATTGACGGTGACAGAACTGACCATGGCCAGTCTTCCAGTACCAGTACAAGATCCCGGGCGACCCGACCACCTACACCATGCTCTGGGACTACAACATTGGCTTGGTCCGCACCACGCCGCTGTTCAAGTGCGGCAACTATTCCAAGGTAGGGCCGGCAACGAAGACCATATCAAGGCGCTAAGCTGACTTTTCAGACAACACCGGCAAAAATGCTGGCTCGGAATCCAGGACTCAAAGAACTTTGTCACAGCATCACCGGCGGAGCTCTTGTCGCGCAAGGTACTTGAAGATGGTCCGTACTGGCATTCATCACACTGACTCGTCTCAGGATACTGGATCCCGTACGAAGCAGCAAAAGCAGTGGCAGCGACGTTCTGTTGGCACATTCGCTACGCATTGACACCAGTCTTCGGCAAAGACTTTCCCAGCATTTGTCTCCCTCCCAACAATGAGAACTTCGGCTCCATGCAGATTGATCCTGAGATCACCAACTATTGCGCTGCGCAGGCTCGGCATTATCGCGAATTGGAGACTCGAGCAACACCCGGTCCGTCACCAGGCCTGCCTAGCCCGCGTACACCTCAGACACCCAAGGCCCGGCCACAGCTGCGAAAGATCCTGCCCAAGCCATACAAGGAGACCGACAGTACGAGCGAGTACTCAACCGATACCGGCTCGGAGGACAAATATGAGCTGTCTTCGCCATCACCACAGATTGCCTTCACCAACCCTTGGTCCTCCGTCAACTCACCGCGCTCACCGTCCCCGAGAGTATCCTTTACCAACCCATGGTCACCTGCCAGCACCACTAGATCCTCCTCTCCGCACGGTACATCTCGCAAAGGTCGCAATGCAGCCAACATTCCCAGATCACATACACCACTGGATTTGCTGCCGCCGCCTCTCAAACCACTGCACACTGCCCCTAGCACCTTGCTCACCTCAACCACGAACGAAGCAGCGCCAACGACACCAGCAGTGTCTCCCAGATCAGACGTGCACCGTATGGATGTCGACGAAGACTATGATGCTGGGTCAGATGATTCTGACGGCGGACTGAGAGAGAAAGATGGCATTGCGAGGAAGAAGTCATCGAGAGGACTCACAGAGACCAAAGCTGCTTACGTGCTGATGAAGTTGAAGACGCAGACCCAGTTTCCCAAGCGAGACTTCCGATCACTCAAACGTCGGGCATCTGCGTAGGTTTGGTCTCATGCTAGGTGGGGAGGAGCTTGAGCAGGATGAGGCAACACTTTGATGTAGTGAAAGGCCCTGATAACGACTGATGACTAGATGCAAGTCCTGGTTTGTAGGCTGCTGTAAAATACCACTAGAGTCTCCCTGTACTCGTCACTGTTTGCTTAGTTCGGGCAGCTGTGCCTCACCGCGTCCCTGCCAACAAGGTGTTTATACCTCATTTCACCTTCACTTTATCCCCGTTTCACTCAGCTCTCATTCGGCCAAATTGATACCCACCTCAATGTCCACCTTCCCTTGCCTCGCACATCCATCGTGGTATTTGTTTTCCGCTTGTTTTGTGGATCGACTAATCGTTACCGTTTAGTTGTTTCACTCAGACTCTTCAGATTGACTCCATCGCCACTGACCATGTCGAACACAACCGGCTTCCCGCACAACAGACTCTATACATGCCGATACTGGGCTTTGGGTCCAGAATGCCCTAACGTGGACGCCTTTCGCACCGTCACCTGCGAATTCGCTCACTACGATACAGGCGACCTTGCCAGCCATGTCCAGCAAAGAGGCACGTGTCTGGCGTGGAAACAGTACGGCTTCTGCGGAAGAGGTGTCGGATGCTGGTATGAACATCGTGACACAGGAGTGACCGGTCTCTACCAAGGGAGTAAGACCGCAAAGAATTCCCACCAACACGAATCGGTGCTGATGCGGTGCTGTAGCTATCGAGCTTAATGGCCTCGAGCTGCAGGTCGCCCACGCAGCCGCAAAGGCTGGTTTCAACACATTCAACCACGAGGCCTTGTTCAATCTGATATGGGCAGTCAAGCGACTTGCGTTGCGAGCAGGCGCTTCCCGGCTTCGCAGCCTCCCTCCGCCACCCAAGGACCCAATATGTTAGTGTTGCTTAAAACGCGGTCACGGGTTTATCAGACTTCCCATGCCCTGCGGACCGAGACGCTGTTCAAGTATGCTAACCTCACATAGATCCAGACAGATATCGTCCAAGCGGTATTGGTGATAACACGAAGAAGAAGAGGAGGCCGCTCACCATAACGCTCACCCTCTAAGCGCCCCGTCGAGTTGAAGTTCCATCCCATCAAGCCTTTGATGAGAAAGCGGCCACTGGAAGATGCTGAGCGGGGACAGGCGGATAAAGCCATCGACTTGACTGCAGATTCGGACACCGAGGATCTCATTGACCTCACGAACCCTTCTGGCAACACGTCCAAGCGGCAAAAGGTGGCGGCGAACAAGCATACCAAACCCAAACCATCGGCTGGCCGGGGGACGTTCCAAGGACTCAATGCATCTTCTACTCCTACACCCCCGGCGTGGGATGCACAGTCCAAATCACAACGCAAGCGAGGAGGTAGAAGGGCCAAAGCTGCACAAGCCATACCAAGAGTGCCACTGACGGCCGCCAACGCTGTACCGATTGTGCCGATGACGGCGGAGGAAGAAATCGCGAAGCAGCTGCTCCTGGTCAAGACAAGGTTGGAAGAGGCTACAACGAATATGAACAACTGTCAGGCAACCATGAAGGCGCTCTTCGATCGTCACTACGCCATATTCGACAATGATGAGACCATGATGGCGCTTCAGAAGCTCAGTAATCATATGAACAAGGTGTATGATGGGGGGAAAGATGGTGCCGGCGAGATGGACAAAGCAATGGCATTGCTAAATATTCGCAAAGACGGTGCCGGGAATTAAGGTTCTAGTGTTATCTGAGCGCGCGCAACCTGATTGCGGTGCGGGAGGTTGCCACACGCTACTTTGCGGAGAAGGATATTCCAGAAGGAGGTCTTGGAGTAGTGCTTGACGTGTACTGTGTGACGGTCTATGTCGGTATAGGTCAAGGGAATATGGTACCTGCTGCGAATGCTAGCTCTACAGACGCCTGGCACGATGAGGCCTTGTCAAACTGGGTCGAATGTTACTGTTGCCAAGCCGGAAAGCGCAGCCGAGCGTGGAGACGCGTCCTGCTACAACAACCTCCTCCTCCTCCCTTACCTTGTAGCTCAGTAGAGTCTGACAAGCTTTGGCGGTCCTAGGGCATCTCATCTACAGACGCAAAGAGGTGATTGAGGACTGACGTGCCAACACCGGCAATGGCCATGGTCACCAGCAACGCGAGGCGCGAGGCGCGAGGCGCGAGGACCTTCGGAGGAGAACGGGTACCTGCCGCAGTCCCCCTCGAAGGCGACGCTGGATTGACAACTGGGCTTGCGAGACATCATGTTGCATACGAGCGTGGCCGTTCACCATAAGTCGCCGGGTCTCTGTGCGGTTGGAGTCCCGCAGTGTTCCACCTTGCACTAGACCAGTACTTGGGATATCACGTTGGAAGCACGATGGCAAACACCATGTGGCAACGGGTGATGTATGAAGAGCTGAAAGAGCTGCGAGATCAAACATGCTTTGGTGCGTTGCGATGATTATGTGTCACGTTCGCCACGGCAAGATGCAGAAGAACAGAGTCTTTGATTCTGCCGCACCAGGTAAACAAGTTCCATCTTCACTTCTTCATGGCACAGTCTGCGCGACAATTTTCAGCGCACACAGAGCTCTCATCTCCCACTCCCGTTTCACAAAATTCATCGCCCTGGCGACGACTATCTGCAGCGGCGCTGATGCATAGCGAACACGGTCACCTGCTATCTCCATAAGTCAGATCCCTTTGACGGCGGCACCGCGTCCTTGGGATTGTCGTGCCCGCTGCTTCTGCGGCAGTCGCTGGCCTCGCCCGACATGGCTGCTCAACAGACAAACGACAACCCAGACAATACCGCACTCGCGATCTCCCCTGCCCTTATTGTCGGCATCGTCATTATCGCTGCGTTCTTCTGTACCCTGATCTTTGCCAGCCTGTACCGCTTTTGTGGTCGCCGCAGCAGCAACGGCTTGACATCGGAGGCATTTGCAGCGCGCGACACAGACAATGTTGTCGGAATCAACGCTGGTGGCGAGTCCTGGAACCCCAACCGACAGAGATCTGCCGCTCAGACAGCACGCATGAAAGAGGTGAGGTGGATCAACAATATGTACGCATGGGAACGAGGGCGGTACGCGCGACTAGAGGTTGGGGAGATCAGACCCACCACCATGATCATGGGCAGAAAAGGCGAGAACAGAAGCTGGGATGAGTACACCGTGGCGGAGGACAGCTCGGGGCGAGATGTGAGTAGCCCGCTCGTTCTGTTGCTGGCACAATAGCAGTCTACTGACAACGCAGTAGAGCTCAGGACAAGGGTCAGGAGATCATGCAGGTCCATATTTCTACAACACCGAAAATCCGTACGGAAGATTTGCATCCCAGCAGCGACTGAGCCACCTCGCTCCTTCCACGAATGGCGCCAGAGCTTCGTATCTGTCCAGCGGTAACGGCAGTGGACTCCTCCCACGACAGCCCTCTGCGCTTCTCCCACCTCCAATCAATGAGCAACCAGGAACGGTTCTCCGAAGAAGCCCGCTCAGACACGAATATCAAGTTGAAGGCGCAGCCCGAGAATTGGCTACACAGCCCCGAACCCCCCATCCTACGATCACTGTCAACGATCGAGCACAGAATTTCCCTGATCTGTACTCCACGGCATATGCGGAGGACACCAACTTTGAAACAATTTCCCTGCGTGACGAGAGCCCGATCGGCGGACAAGGTGGCCGAGGCAGCGTCGATCCCTCACAGCCACCGGCCAATTTTTCCCGACCACGAGAAGGCCACCACGTGACACCCACGCAGCGCCCAAGCGTGGTCGTCACCGCCGGTTCGCTCCCACAGCTTCAGCTACAATTTCCGCTCCCACAGTCTCACTCCCAACAGACAGTCTCGAGCATCTATGACGAAGATGAGGGTGTGCATGTGAATAGTCAGAATGAAGCGATACCTTTGAGCGGTCGTGCTGAGGTTCAAGACCTTGAAGAGAGCAAGCCTCTCAAGGAAGTGCAGAGTCTCGAGGATGATGGCCAGGAAGTGGGCGGAACCGTCGCCAAGGAAAATGTCAAGGACATGATCCAGGAATGGGAGAGGGTTAATGGACGCTTTGGCCGAGGGTGCTGAAGCACGGACCGACGGCGGTCGGTGCGATTGCGATATGTTTACGAGTGCTACGAGTGCGAAGAATCTCTTCGCATGGGATGATGCGAAACACATGAAATCACGTCCACGAACGGGGTACGAACATGGGCGGCATACCCTCAGTTGGATATCTGCACCTTGGGCTACTGCGATGTTTGAACTCAAACTCCTGTTATTCAAGACCAAGGCGATAACTGAGTGAAGTGCTGAGACCAAAATCAGAAAATTTCCGTGTACACATGGCCCGAGCTACATCGAAGAGACTTTCAAGCTCTGTGGCTGAACAGTAGATGTGGAAGTCCACCTAAGTTCGAGAATTAACACGTAGTTTACGCAAGGATGAATCCCTCTGGCCATGTCGCATGCGGATCAGCTACGAGTGAGTGTGCGTAGTGAGATCTCCTCCTGCACCCTGAAAGCCGTGTATTTCTGGGCCATTTTAACGTACCCGCAAATCCACTGACTTTCGGCGTATGGAGGAATTACGCTTTCTGTGCTCGATTTGACTTTTCATCTGGTAGGTAGGTACCTTGGATTCACGTCCTTGCACTGGTACTGCCACTGGTACTCCGACTTCCATTCCCGTTCCATTCCATTCCATTCCACTTGATTAATGTGTTCGTCGCTCCATTCCGTTCCACTCCGTCGACGTATTCGTCGTTCCGGTGTCTGCCTGCCTCGATTTCTCGAACCGCAAGTTCGAGGAAGGTCAGATGTCGAAGAGAGAGGGAAAGAGAAAGAGAACGAGTGGTCACGAATGGGGGGACGTCAGTTTGAGTCAGAGCGCGCATCAGGCGGGTCGGGCATTGCTGCACGAAGTATATACCAGGTATGAGCGTGTATGCGTATGTAAATGTATATGTGTATGTGTATACGTATATCGATAAGTGGTGTGTCGTCCATCTTTAATATCTCCCCTTACTCTTCATCTTTGTCTTCACATTCAGGTTTATTCTAACTGCTTACTTCAAGTAGTATCCACCACTGGTAATCATTCAATTGACTTCCAGCCTTTCGCTAAGCGTACGCTGAATGATTTGACCTCCTGTTCTACACGTTACGAGTGCTTCCATACAACACTCACACTCACACTCGTAGCTCTCAACCCAAAGAGCTCAAGTCGAGGAGCTCAGATCGAAGCGAGGAGATTGTACTCTCGCATCACGTCACATACCACCTCACGTCACCCATCTCATCTTATCCATCTCGTCCCGCCCAGCACATCTCATCCCCATCTACATAGACTCTACAACACCTTACAACTACCACTTACTGTCCTCATCACAATGGACGCCCTCATCGTCGCGATCCTCGCCCTCCTCCTCGGCAAGTCCGTCACCACCACGGCGACGCCGCTTGACATCTTCGCTGCCCACAGCGGCGATGTCGTGTCCGGATCAACCAAGAGTGGACCTGTCGCGCGCGCGGTCGTCGCTTCGGTAAATGGCGAAGGGGGTAGACACGGGCGTGGATTCGGGTCTGCGCCTAGACTTGCTCGTATCTCTTTCGTGACGTTGGCGGTGGAGAGTAGTGGGGATGGTGGTATTAGTGCTCTTATTGTTGCTAACGAGCCGTCCGTGGCTGTCAGTGTCGTTGACAGCTAGTTGTCAATGCTGTTGGAGGGTGGTTGTCCGTGCTTAGGCTGAGAGTGGCGGCGGTAGTCGGGCTTAGTGTTTGGTTGATGGAAGTAGAAGGGACATCGAAGAGGACGTTTTTGGTATTACAGTTACCGTCGATATTGCTTTTGCTGTAGGAGTTGTGTTGGTGGCATCAGGGTTAGAAGCCGTGGAAAGCGGTGAATGCGCTGTTACTGCGCGCCAAGGCATATCATGGTATTCCCTTGTGGTCTGGTATGTTTTGGTGCTCGCGAGTGAATGGAGGGCTCAGCTAAACTCAAGTAAACTCAAGTCGACTCGACTCGACCCATCAAGGGTTTCAGCGGTGGTGCTCGCAAAGCCATTCAAGTAGGGTTAACGGGACAGCTGGGCTAAGCTAAGCTGTGATGGGGTCGACGAGGCTTTCCATGCCATGTACCAGAATCTGGAGGAGAGGCTAGAAGAGAAGAGAACTTAGTTTGAGTCAAATTTTAAAACAGAGACTGGAAATGGCAGAAGTACTTGAGACATTCGGTGCGTGTGGGTTATTGTCCTTCTCCATGACCTTGGTGCCGCACCATTATCGTCGCGTGCAGTCAGCTGGCAGTTCCGTCACGTTCCGCTGGAAGTAGAACACGTATGTCAAGTTTTTGACACCCGTTTCGTCCACCTGCCGTCTCTCTGGTCGTAGTGTACTTGGGGTTGTCGCAGCACTTGATATGGTTCATCGCATGCTTGCATTAGTATGCGGTGATGGATTTGGTGCACAGCTTGATTTAGAGATGAGTTCTAGGAGTTTATGGCTCTGGAAATATACCGTTCCTGGGGGCCGAGCTTCCGCCCTGTCAAGTGGTGCAGTAGACTTACACTTGGACCGTTCCGTTATCGCGCATGGAGGCTAGTAGGTATTGGTCGTAATTCTTCCCTTAGTTTCTGTTGATCGTGACGGAGAGGAGAGGATGGGTCCAGCTCGCTTTTGCATGTCAAGTATCGAAGCGGCCCTTTCGTGGAGATGACTCTCGTGATAGCCAGAGGCTAGAGAAATGTTAGGCATTGAACTCGGTGGACTCGTCTCTGTGGCTGTTATCATGATCGTCTACAATGAAAAGACATCAGCGCTGGAACCGAAGCGCGTTGCGGCCTGGATCCAGCACTTCAAAGTGCGAACGGTTGAAAATAGTGGTGCGGTGGATTATGTAAGTCGTCGAGTCTCAGGGGCTTCACAGCCTTGTCATGCGACCTCCGAGGTGAAGTGCCGAAAATGGTGAAAACTGGGCAACTTAGAATGACAGTGACTTTGGGAAGGCTTCCTCAATAATGAAACCACTCAAGCATACGTCGATATGCTTGTCGTCGTGAGCGGAGACTGATGACGCCTTCCGACATGATATGTTGGAAAGTAGATATGGACCGCACACTTTTCCTCAGATGACTTGCTATTCGTCCAAGTATGCGGCGGCTCTGGCATTGCCATATGGCTAGTGAATTACTGAAGCAGGTGGATGTGGACCCGTGGCAAGGCTCGGTGATATACACGTCTCACTGAGCACCATGGAGATGGCATCCCGGTTGAGGCGACCACCAGAGCGCGGACGTCGTGATCTTGTGATTAGCGAGGACTCGAGGGACGGTTGACGCTAAGGCTGTTCCGGCGTGCGGTGAAATGGCGAGGCATTCCACAGAGAGCTAAGGGTATCATGCAGCTAGCCCGAGACCAGTGCCTCGCTCTGATCGTATGTTGTTGGGGTCTACGAATTTGTAGCTTGTCCATTGGGTGTCTCGTCGTTTCCTGCTGCAGAGGCCTTGCGAGCCGCGAGAAGCATCTACAAGCGTATCCTCTATGGAATCACACGGTAGAAGCCCGTCTTCATCCCTGCCTCGAGGATGTACAGTGGGCAAGGTGCATTGGTCGATTCCGCGTCTTTGGTATAGGATTCGAGCCAACACCCCAAACCTACACATAGTGTTCAGGTTAGTCTTAGTCGTGGAGAGTAAAGCATGGACTCGATCCTAGACTCTCCTGTTACCATCTCGATAAGCAGGATGACCAGCTGCGACGTTGCTTGGTAGAGGCTTGTCGATCCGCTACGGTTGTATATTCTAGGTAGGGTGCGGTGGTTCTGCATCGTGCTAAAGCCGAGGCCGCGGTGAACTGGTTCCGCGAGGGTGGGTGCGTGGGCTTGTTGTGGGACTGCATACGGGGAAATCAACGCTGTTGGAGGTTGGGAACCCGATGATGAGCCCCGCGAGTCCGAAGGGCAAGATGCCTCGGACAGTGGTGACGAGCTCGGAATCGTTGGAAGAGTCGATGGGTGCTGCGTGACAAGGTTGGTTCAGCTGATACGCTCGGAAGGAGGCAGACGGGGGAATTTGTGTAAATCATGAATGTCGTGGTCAGAGGAGTGTCAGTGTCAGTACCAGATTAGGGTGTCACCGCTGACAGCTTAGGGAAGTCAAAGGGCCTGTAAACTATCCGACCGTCGTGCTGATGATGGGCAATGGTGCTGGAGAAGGATGACAGGGTACAGCACTGCTGAGAATTGAGGGGTGCTGGAGATATGGCTAAATGCAGGAGCCATTTGGAGGGGCGGGCGCCGCCTGTTGCTGAAGAGCCGCATGCGGAAGCGAAGCTGCGTACGACGGTCCTGATGCTGGTGCCGAGGCTGGTGCAGGCGATTTGTTTTGCTCTCCTACGCGTCCAATTGAAAGAGCTGCTTTATCGCGTGTTTGGCATGTAGTCTCGGTGGTATAGACTGGAAGGGAGGTGGCATTGTGGCTATTATACTCGGTGAGGAAGCTTCGTCATTGAGCAGAGCGATAACAACATCGAAGGAGATAATAAACTCGTCGACTCCCACGGTAGTGGGGCACAGGCTTCCTTGCATCAAACACTACCAGCGCCAACACAGTATGGGACACGTATCTCTTAATGTCCCAGGGCAAGGAGAGAGGACAGTGGCATTTGGTATGCCCGGACGCGTTCGGTCCGTTTGTAGGTTGGAATGAAACAGTTGCAGGATTTGTAGCACCTTCAGCCCAGTTGTTACTGTCTGCGAAGCTGGATCTTGGTGGGTAGGCTGTTACAGCCACTGCGGATGCGATGGTACCGTGGGGCCAGACTGGCGAAAAGGCTCCATGGGCACGCAGACATAGGGTAAATCACGGCCTGAGCCATTTGGGGACCTTGTCTCGGCTCTGCTGGGACTCTAGCCATGTCAAGTTACAGGCGCAAAGTTCAGGGAGGAGTGAGGGAAAATGGAGAGTACTTTAACAAGAGATTGTGTTCTGTACATACTGCAGTTTGACGACGCTAGTGGGTAGGGGCTTGGCGTCTCCGAATCGTCAGCTGCACGCTTGAGCCAATTTACCGAGTTTCTTCAGCTTCGA